GGTGACCCCTTAAGAGTACACTGTTTATTCTCTCAAAATCAGATCATATTTTGAGGTAGATGTCTCCAGAGAACCCTGAGTGTTGCTCTCTGATTTATGATTTGCTTGCGGGGTGGTGGGAATCAGGTGTAAAGTTGAGTTGCTTATGATCGGAATGTTAACAACTTACACTGTGGTCTCTGAAGTGAGTAAGCTAAGAGTTGTGGAATTTATATTGTTAGGCATGTCTAAATTGGGATGGTGGAGGAAAGTAACTTTCCTGCAATATAATTTTTTTTTTCTATCAAGTGACTGAAATTCGCTAGTGGTCCTAGAAGGATTGCCACCTCCCATGTCAACCAACCAACGAGCTTCCGTGTTTGTAAAGAACTCTTGGAGAGTATGCCAGAAGGGAGGTGGTGAGTGGTTTTGTTAGTTTGGGGTGGTTTCTGTTATAATAGGTGGCATTAAACACTAATTCTAAATGCAGTGTTTCCTAACACTGGCAGCTAACAACCTATACATGACTTACTGTTGGGGATTCTTCTTCAGCTCTGTCAGTTTCAAATTCCACATGGCTCTCCTGGCGTTTCTCCCCTGGGTGGAGGTTGTGGCTGTGTTCAGCAGGGCAGTGCCTTGCTGCCGTCAGGCCTCTGAGCGCAAGCTCACTCCTACCCAGGGCCCTTTTGCGTGGCCTCACTCATCTCTGGGGCGGTGCAGTGCAGGGGAGGGCGTTTAAAAAGTCATATACGGCTAGGAGGGGAAGCACACCCTCTCTGGAACCTCTCGCATGCGTGTTAGTGGGTGTGTTCTTTTTACCTCATCCAAAAACTTCTATGGTTAAGGAGAAGATCTTTTCCCTTCTGTGCTAGAAAAGTAGAAGGATGGTAAAGCCTCTGGTGCTACCCCAGCTTTGTTCTAGGCCATGGAGCTCTGTCAGTACTCCTCTTCATTCTGTACCTCCAGTTTTGTGGTCCATTAATCTTATTTTTCACCAGTCCCCTATCAACAGTTGTCTCTGTTCTAGTTGAAATAGCCGAAATGTGGAGCCTTACAAAGCAAACATCAAGACCTGTTCTGGGGCAGAAACTGCTGCCCTCCCTACTCTTTCCTCCTCTGCTCCTCTGCCGACCAGCAGGCTTCCCCTCCAGCATCTTTGGCCAGATCTTCCCTGATTGTGCATCTTACAAATTCCTTCTGTAGAAAATAGGAAGACATCAACAATTTGAATCTGTTTTTGTTTGTGAGAGTTCCCTAAACTATGTAAGACAGCTGTGATGATGAGTGGTTCCCCCCTCATCGTGTTCCACCCTCCCAGCTCCAGCCCATCCCTGCTCTGCGTGGATGATGCCTGCTTGTTCCCAAGGGCTGTGTCGTAGCGGCAGAGCCACACTTGAAGTGGCGGGTCTGGTCTGTGGCCTGATGGCGAGGTGTATTATCGGACCTTCCCGCACATCTAACAGGTAGCGTGTATTTACCATCCCTGAATAGTGAATTCTGTTTCTCCTGTCTGGCTGAATCGCCGTAACTTGCGCTTCTACTGAAACGAAATGTTGATGGTGCACGGGAAGGCAGACTACAATCACAGCAGAAACCCCCGCGCTCTCTGTGCTGCTGACTCACTGGTCTCCCGCCTCTGAGCTGCCCTCAGGTGTGTGTGTGCTGCGCAGCCTCAGGACACCTGGGCAGCCTTGTTCTCGTGCTACAACTTTCCTTTATCAGAGACTGGGGTGATCCAAGGCCTTATTTTGGGTTGGGTTGTGCTGTTTCACTAGCTAGAGATGAGAGAAACATCTGCCGATTCTAGCACCTCCTCTCAATGAAAGAGACAGACAGTAAGTAATCCTGAAATTCTCTCCAGCTGCTTCCCTCCTCTTCCACCAAAATGGAAGAAATTTGACATCTTAGTAACTTTTCCAATTATGAGTCATTTTCTAACATTCAGAGCAAGACTTTGGATGAATCTTGCTCAAATAATAGCCTATGCTATAGTTGCAACCCTGGTGGTTTAAAGAAGAGAATTAAAAATAAATAAATAACCGTATAACAGATTGCCTCAACACTTAGTGACCTGCCAACAACCGTTTTATTATTTTTCACAATTCTTTCAACCAGGCATTTAGACAGGTAACCAGCAGCATGGACGACTCTGCAGCAGGGCCCGGAGAAGCGCTGGGTGCCTCTCTCCCCTCTCCTCACCATCTCTCTGGCACAGCAGCCTTGGGGATTGCACTTCTGAGGTGGGGGTCAAGACTCCCAGAGCGATTGTCCCCCGCAGCCCATGTGGGACTGAACTCAGCAATGCCAGGGCACCTCTCCCTCTCATTCTGTTGGCAGGCGAGTGAGGCGCAGGCCAGCCCAGACCCACTGCTTGTAGATTTACATCTGTCTTTCAGTGGGAGGAAAGGCAGAGTATTTTGGGCTGTCTTGAGTCTACCGCAAAGACTTAATTGAACGTTGTTAGGTACCAATGTCAATATTCTAAGTCTTATAGGGGGGATTAAAAACTTCTGAGGAAGTTAATGACTTCTGATTTTAAAAAAAAAAATTGAAACTCACACTTTCTGCTCTTTTTAATAGTGATTGCCTTGGTATTTTAAAATTTATAGTCTGCATCAAATGACAGAGGAAACACGTAGAACTTTGTTAGATGAGCTAAGAAAACCCCTCCCTCTACATCTTGACCTTTGTTAAAGTAAAATGAGGCCAGTGTGACCTTTGTTCTCAGAGGAGAGTCTGCCTAGGACTGTCCAGCCACTTGACTTTTTCGCATTTCTCCACATTTGAGAAATCTCAAGTATGAAGTTGTGACGGAAGTACGTGTATAAAAAGCTAGACCTGAGTAATCAGTGGTGTAAAGGAGAAATCCCGCTTCCCTGCCTGACTTGACCAGGGATTTGCGCTGGCGGGGGCTCTCAGGAGACTCAGAGCAGCCTTCCAGGAGCTGGAGAAAGTGGAAGAGGGCACGAATGTTCCTTGCATTCTGTGCATATTTTTGAAGGCTTAGAGTTAAAAAATGTCTTCTTAATCTAAGCAGAGAAAGTTTCTGCTTGTCATTGGGTGCTGACTTTTTCTTGTAACTAGCCTTTGTAAAATACCAATCCCAGCATGTGATCTGTATCGTGTTTCGCCTGAACCTGAACTTTAAATAGAGAAAGTGGGGTAATTCCTGTCTGCAACGGTCCATTAAACCAGTAGTTTTCGATTTTGTGACACCCGTCCTGTATCAAGGGCAAAGGAAAACATACAGGAGGTGTATTAAGGGGCATGGCCAGCCCTTCCTGCTGGGACTAGCAACTCACAAGCCGATCTCGGTGGCACTTGAGGTCTTGCGTGTGATTCAATTTACAGATGACAAGCTCAGGCTAACTTTATAACATCAGTACATGCAGAGACTTTGGGCTGGGAAATGGGGGACAGCCTCGCAGATATTTCACGTGTGGGTGAACATAACTCCTGGAGCAGAAACTCAGATTCCATATTCTCTCGGTTATTAATGAGGAAGCGTTTTCATGGTGGTTAAATTGTATTCTTAAGATGAATTCACACTTAGAGATGTGATTTAGTCTGTAGAGTGAACTACTCTCTCCAGTTGCTTCAATGTACTATTTGTGGAGACAATATAAAATTTTTAAAAAGTTTTAATGTAAAATTTTGATGTCATAAAATTTGCCAGTTTACTCCCTTTTGACTGTCAGGATTTGGCGGCGTTAAGCACATTCACATTATTGTGCAGCCATCGCCACCATCCATCGCCAGAGCTTTTCTTTCATCCCAAACTGAACTTCTGTATTCGTTAAGGAAAACTATTTATACATGTTGTAAAGTTGTGACTGGGTCTTGAAACTGAGATGAATTTTATCTGAGTAGATTCTTGGGGGCTCTGCGCATGAGAAGGGGCTACGGTGTGAGTTGTGATGGACAACTGCATAGGGCACTTTATTTTTTGGCTTAACCAGTGTGATAGTAACAATTTTTATGTGACAAGTGCTTGAATTGTGTAGGGCTGTTTTTAAAATCAGCGTGCTCTTCGTTCCAAGCAGAAGTCCTCCTGCGAGGAATGCTTGCACTTGCACCCGTTCACTGGCCGCTGGCTGAGCCAGCTTCGTTAGATTTGGAGGGCCGCGTTGCTGTTGGGATGCTTCACTTGAATAAAGTCATTTCCATACACATGCTTGTTGAGAAAGATTTGACACGTATTATGGTGCCTCCAGAAACCTTTCCCCTTGTGCAGAGTCTTGTCCCTCCACGCAGCACAGTCGTCATCACCTGCAGGAGGTTGGAGCCTGAGCCCACACATAGTACCAAACCCTCTGTGTACTAGGTTCTCCCTGTGATGCATGCATGCAAACATACATGCATGCATGCATACCTGTGTACGTGCATACATACATGCATGCATGCCTATACAGTTTCATGTACACACAGTGAGAGCTTAACAACAACAAATACTAAAATGGAAGACTTGTAACCGCTGTGTAATAAAAGCTATGTGACTGTGGTCTGTAATGTTTCTGGACCACGATTGACCTCGGATAACAAACTGCAAAAAGCGAATGTTCAGAGAGGGAGGACTGCTGCAATGAATAAAAATTGAACAATAATGTAAAATATACAAATACCCTTACATAAGGGAAATTAGTGTAAAGCTACCGTCTATCATGTATGTGTTCCTTTGATTCTGGCTCACTTTGGACATCATTAGCAAATTCTGAATAGCAATAGGTAATTCTTAAATTGCCTTTAATTAATTATGAAATTTACTGTTTCAAGAAAACTGGGACATAAATAACTGAAAATATTACCATTAAATGAACATAAATATTGATGTTTCCTTTTTCTTATTGCTCTGGTATTTGCATCTTCTGTCCTAAATATGTAACCATCTATCTCATCTCTAGTCATTACTATTAAAATGGTTGTTATTAAATGTGTAAGATTTCAATCTGGTTTCTTTTTATGGAATTTACTATACTTAGCCCATGGTGTAGATTAACACCTGCCCCTCTTTTCTCCTCCAGAATGACTCCGCTCATGGTGATTACATGCAAAGAAATGAAACCAGTTTAATAGAACAAGCCCCAGTACTGCATGACGAACTTACTATGGCGCCTCATAGAGCTCAGCGAGAAGGTACGCTCTCTTTTCTGTAAACTCAGGGCATCTGCGTGCAGAAAGATTGTGGAGTGTGTCTGCATTAGTTAACTCTAACGCTTCTTTCTTCTTGTTGGAGTAGCAAAATCCTACTGGTCCTAGGTTGGGCTCATGCTGGTTTACTCTCTTGGGTCTAAGTCTGGACCCCTATTCCTTGCTCATGGTCTATCCTAGCTCATGCTCACTCAGTTCTTCCTTGTAGTTGGTTGTCATAGATCTGCTTGCATACTTCTGGAGGGCAAAGACCTTAACATATTCCCAAGTATTTAGTGAAGTGCTTCACTGTAGAATGTGCACAACATTGCCTGAAAAAAACAGATTTTACAGAGAAGTTCACTGCAAGAAAGTGAAGCATTTTCTTACAAGTCCATGCTTCCTGTAGTACTTCGCAGGGCCTGGGTTGGAGGAATGAAAGGTACTGCCACCAGAAAAGAAGTGAATTCAGATACTCTCTTCTCTTGGCTTTTGGAGAGTCCATTAACCTGTGCTGAGAGAAAAATTGAGATGGAAAAGGTGGACCCCTGCCTGGGCAGCTGGGAAGAGCGAAGGGCACATATTAACCAGCACACATTCAGTTATGTCAGCTTTGAATGGGCAGCAGATGTCTCCTTTAATCCAGTGATAATTCTTTTTGTGTAATAGTTTACCTCACAGGGTCTCCCCGGTGGCGCAGTGGGTTGAGCGCCGCGCTGGAAGCTGTCCCCAGCCTCTGCAGCGCGAGTTCGATTCCTGGCCGGCCAGGGAGAAACCCACCTGGCGCGGCAGACATCTCCTGTCTCGCCTGCTGCTCCCCTCAGCAGTGTTTCAGTCCATCTGCCTGTTCTGCTCCCTGCTTTGTCTCTGGTGAATTCTCTCACCCTCCCGTGCCTTTGACTGTACCCCAGTTCTTGTATAAATAAATAAATCTTTGGAAAAAAAATAGTTTTCCTCACAGAAGAAAAATAAATATGAATATTTAATGTTTAAAAAGACCACTTATATTCAGGATGTCATGGTAGTCCTCTCAGTCCCGCTAAACTACTCAAAACAGAGACTGCTTCAGCCAAGTTCACCAGACTTGCCAGTAAACTAAAGCAGAGTTTGATTTTACCATGAAGGTTCTTTTTTTTTAAAAAAAATAAAAATTTAGAAAGGTGTAAAAGACATCACTGAAATGCTAACAAGTAGTTACAAGTAGTGGCAGGATAGATGACTTCTTACTGTCCTGACTTAAAAATAATGCATGTGGTACCTGCTTTTCCATTTGAACTTATAAAGGACTGGAGGATCTCCATTATCAGCCATTCCCCACCGCATACTCTTTGTCATACTCATCTTGATTCTGATAGATCACGGCAGGTAAAGCTTGAAATCAAGGCTGCAAACAGAGCCCTATTCCCACACCCTCCAGTGCCCTAGGGTCCCCTGCCCTTAGCCCCATGATTTGCGGAAGTAAAACTGCTTTGTATTTCTGAACGTAGATTAGTTCAGATGGTTATTTGATAGCATCATCCTTTAACTAATTTAATAGATAAGCTTTTGGAAATAGCAGACCCTTCCTCCTCCAGGTTGTCCTTTATCACACTCAGCAGTCCTGAGGGGTTGCTGTCTCCTCGCCTGACTTCGGTCTCTCTCAACATTCTTCACCCACTAAGGGAAAATTGGCCTAGAAGTAGGTCACTAGATACTCTGCATTTGGGAAGTTGGTACAAAATGCCGGTAAAGGTGTCACTTTATTTTTAGTTTATGAATGTCTGTTTACCTGCAAATTCTGTGTCTTACGCTTGGTACCTTCGCATTGCACACCTCCCGTGATCTATAACAGCCTTTTTCCTTCCTGTGTACTTTTGTTCCTTTGTGTATTCTACTTCATCTGTTTTAACTTCTTCCTCTAAAGCGAAGGGACTCCTTCCCTCTTCTTCCATCTCCTGTCCCCTGAATCCAGCAGTGACGCTGGTCTGCTGAGTCACTCTCCTCACTATTTCCTGCGACTTTTATCATCTTCATTACTGCCAGCCTCTGATAGTACCTCCCTCATTTTTTAAGTAGTATTTCTTCTATTCATACCCTGAGCAACAACTTTTTTTTTCCCTTAAGTCCTTACATTATGCTTAGTAGACTGGTTCTTTTCAATTTGTAAAGGAATTTACTTCCTAAGTTGCTATTTTTATTAAAGGATGTATAAAGTGAGTAGCTCTGGGATTTGTGTGTTTGCTTCATGAATAAGCTCAGATTTTCTATTTCAATTCAGAGTAATTGTTCTTAAGTCACTTAAGTTATGACCACCGTTTCTTGCTACAGTGAAACGTCATAGTTCATTATAATGCTGTTTGTGTTTATGATATTAAGGGTCACATTTGAGAAAAATAACTTTCAAATTCCCAAATGGAAAGACATTTTTATTAGTTTTATATATTGCCTCTGAAGGGGGTTTTCCCAGTTAAAAATATAACTGTTTGCGAGTTTACGTGTATTACGCATTATCATCGAATGAAACTCAGTTGCTGGTGGTATTCTGAATAACAAACAGTTTTAGAGATCATCATCTAGAACAGCAGTCTTTCAAGGCAGGCACCTTTTACTACTTATCCTTTTCATCTTGGGGGTCAGCAGAGTGCTTGATGCAACTCAGGCTCTCGGCACATTGGATTAATTGGTAGAGGAAAAATGAGTTCATGCATGGATGGCACACTGCTTTGCTTCTGGGTTTTTCGTTTTATGATTTAAGACTAGTAGTAAAGATGAAAATAAATTGCTCAATCGTTAAGCACTTGTCAAATTGGGTAACTGGAATGTGTATCTAGTCGCTGTAGAACGAGTCAGCGTGTTTTCTGTCTTTCAGCTGTACACATTGAGAAGATAATGTTGAAAGGAGTCCAGAGAAAAAGGGCTGACAAATATTGGGAGTACACCTTCAAAGTAAGCTACTCTCATCCACAAAAGATACCCCATATCCCATGTTAAATGATCTTTTTTAAAAGAATGAAAGCTTATTTTTGGAAAAATTTCTGGCAGGTTTGCTAATTTAAGAAAGGTTAGATATGTATGTGTTTTAATTAAAGGAATGTACTGTGTCTAGTTTATACTTCATGGTTTGCCAGGTTTTTAAAATTATATCACATTAAAATTACAATTTTGTTAAAAAGAAATAAGAGCTTTACATTTAAGGTGTAAGATATATCTTAAAAGGTGCAGTAAACATTTCCTTCAGTATTTTTGAAGTCAAAATCGCAGGCATTGTCTCTCCCTGGCATTGTTTTCCCCCCGTTTCTCTCCTCCTCTTTCTCCGTGTCGGGTGGTGGTTTTATTTTCTGGCCTTCGTTGCCTGGTTTTCTTGTCTGCACTTGCTCTCCTGTCCTCCAGGCAGCTGTCTCATCAGCCTCAGAGCCCAGCTCCCTTGCTCCCAGCATCTCCTCTCTGCCCATTGACCATCGAGTGGATTCCCGGCCTTGTCTTCCTTATTCTCTCCAATTGGGCTTCACTCTCCAGCCCTTTGCTGGGCTGCCTGCGTCTTGACGCCCTGGGATGGTACCACATTTCAGAGCTTCCTCACTTCAGTTCTTCCCCAAAAGTTGCTTGCCAAATTTCAGTGTCCTTCTCTCATGAAATCATTTCTGGATCCTCCAGTGGAATGTTTTATCATTCACTCAAGTTATATGACCGTCGTGTTTCTCACAGAGAATCTTCTATTTGGGCTGCATGTTTTTTCTTAACAGTAGGTTATCATCTCATGGAGAGCAGGGCTCTTCATTCTTTATCATCCCTACCCTATCTGTCTTGCTATTAGTACTTACGTTGATTGAATTTCAGACTTCTTCTTCTGCTTTTGTGGGAGAAATATCCTCAGTCTGCACATTTTTAGTCCCTATCTGCATATGTTTGACTTGAGTTTTGTAACACGTGGCGCAAGCCCCTCTCTGCTCTTTTCATTCAGTCACGTGGGTCTCCTTCTGTAGTGGGAACGCATAGCTTGTTCCTTCCGTGAGGCCTTCGCTGTCCCCTTGCTCTGAAATGATCTTGCCCTAGGCTGTGGCACAGCTGATGACCCCTCAGCAAACAGACTCTGTCAGTCACTCCCACCTCTGAGGTCTTTCTAGGCACCAGGCTAATGTGCTATTACCCCCTCCTGCGCCATGCCCTCCTCATCATTGTCTTCAGAGCCCTGGTCACTGGTAGTAATCCTTACGTCTTCTGTTGCTTTCACCTGTCTCCTGCATCAGACTCAGCCAGTGGACACTTGCGCTGTCTTGCCCACTTCTATATCCCCTTCACTGGAAACTGTCTCACACAAGTAGTTACCGTACAAACAATTTAATAACTAAAAAAATCACCCAAGAGATATGCCAGTTAATAGGGATACTTGTTTTGAGGATTGCTAAATAAAATTTTGAATGTATTTTAAAGCATCTGATAATTACGATTAGTTGATAAGGGTTTGATATTAATTGCAAAGTAGAAATTATTACTGGGCCACCAGTGAGTCCTCTGAACTAAAATTATCCAGAGGTAAGGAGGCATAATAGATTTCAGTTCTGGCTCTTCTGTTTACTTAGGGTTGAACTAAGTAACTTTACCTTTTTGAGATGTAGTTTCTCCATCTGAAAGTGGAGATTATCATACCTGCCCCATCCACTTTAATAGGATTTTAAAGAATAAAGTTGAAATTTTTGAAATGTTTTCATAAACCATAATTTCCCATGAAAGTACAGTTTGGTGTGATAGAGGAGAGGCAGTAAACTCTGCTTATTTCTTGTGAGAATGCATATTTCATAAGTCCCAGGAGATAGGATTTTTATCTTTCTTGGGGCATGGAACTTACTGTCAGAGCTTCATTTTAGAATCTGGCAACTTCACAAAAAAGGAATGTAAGACATTTCCCTTGCTGAAAAATTACTAAAACATAGTCACATTATTTTAAGACAACTTTTTATAAAGACCATGCAATCTAATAGAAATTATTAAAAAGAATTTTGAGTGGACTGTCAATGTAGAATAAATTTTGAAGAGATTATGTGACAATGTCAGATTAACTTCATATTTTTAGTGGTTAGTAAAATTTAAGTAAGGCCCTTTGTTTTACACATGGCTTTTTTCTAGCCGGTTCCCGCCTAAGAAATAACCATATAATATGTGTTTTTTTTAAATCAGGTAAATTGGTCTGATCTTTCAGTCACAACAGTAACAAAAACCCACCAAGAACTACAGGAATTTCTACTGAAGGTAAAAGTATAGATTTTGTTGTTAAAATGATGTTTACATAATATACATAATCCAGAAATCTCTATCAAAACGAACATCAGGAAAATTAAAACATATATATAAAGGTGGTTTGGAACTCTCCATGAGCTGTAGGAAATGTCATGTTATTCTCGACCTGAGTTTTCTTACATTGCCAATATGAGGAAATGATAAAGGTTTTCCATATTTTCAGAACCTGTAGCCCTGCTCCAAGTTCCTGGGCAAGATATTTCCTGTGGTGGTTGCTGGGGGGGGGGGGTCCCCGGGAAAGGTGCATCTCAGGAAGTGGGGCATGAGGCTGGTTTGCCTTTGGTAGTGGCTCCTGGAGGCCGTTCAGCTCCCTCCCTCTGGCTGCCTTAAACTCGCCTCCATTTCTTCTTCTCTCCTTGATAGAATCTCCACGCTCTTGAGAGCAAGGGATGGTGGAAACGCTCTAGGCAGACTTGCAGAGGTCAAGACTCTCCTGTTTCTTTTATAATTATTTTCTTGAAAAGTGTGGATGGGGATAAATATTAAGAGGCGAGAATAGTTTTAAATGGTTAGGCAATAAATTATTTCTCAGTAATGGAATTTTTGAACTTTTAATAGGAAGATAAAGCAGAAATTCCAGAAACAGGAAAAATTCCCAGCATAGTGTCTACCTTGGTGAAGATGGGACGTAGTTAGGGTATCTGTAACATCTGACGTTTTCAGGACAATGCTGGTTTTTAAAGTGATGTTCAATGCTTATCACCATCAGTGCTCTCTTCTCAGACTATGTGGGTCTCCCCTTATTCTGAAAACTGAAAGAGGCGATTTGTCACAGGTTTCAGAGCTTCGAGCAGCACCTTAGATGCTGGTCTGAGAGCAAGTACCTCATTCAGACCATATCACATCTTAGTTCAGGCGAGTGAAAACACCCCAGGATGACTTGAATATTTCATTCTCCTGTGGCTTATTTTAATCTAGGCTCTCCCAGGGAAGGGTGAAACTCCAGCACCCACTTCCAGCTGGTGACCTAACTGCACATAAAGAGAGGGGCTGTCATTCGTTTGATTGCCAGGGTCGCACACCTGTGACATGACGCTGTGACATGACATGACCAGGGTGGTGAGAAGAGCGCAGCAGGGGCGTGGTGGTGTGAGCACTGGCCTTGGAGAGAGGCTGGCTCCTGGCCAGTGTTCTGCACTTAAGTAAATTAAGAGTCCCCATCCCCCAAGTGCTTTTAAAATGTCTTCTATTTCAGTCTCTTCTGTCTCTTGGTAGAATAAGCTTATCAAAGTGTAAGGACAGGTAATCATGAACAGGCTTTGTTTGAAATACGGTACTGTGCTTCCTTCATTTCCCTTCTTTCTTCTGTGGCCCGCGCACAACAGAAATCTAATGCTGGAGGGGAGGGGGTAGGGGATTTAGAGTTGAGGCTGAAATATCTTGCATTCTGAAATTCGGTGGTAGGTGGGTGTCTGGCCCTCTCAAGGCTGGTAACCTAAAGCATTTGTGTGGCGGTTGCTACCTCCCAGCCTGCGGGCATTAACCCAGGGAGACACGGCTGATCCCCGGCCAGTGTCTTCTACTGGGTTTCCCTAAGCTCCTGCTGTTTGTCTTTACAGATTTCAGTTTTTCAGTCACACAATTTTTCCAAAAGCTTAGGTCCTTTTTAAAAATTACAACCCCAAGTAGATAATTCACTCTTCAGAATCACAGTAATTAAGGATCCCCTTGCTTAGCCTACACTGGAACAGAGTATTTTTCTAATATGTGACAAATGACATTAACCTTCATAGACGCTGTTTAACTGCACTTACAGTTTGCTGTCACGTGGAGGGGTGAGTGTGAGGGCAGTGTTTCCAGATCCATTTTTCCCACGTAGGTAACAACCTCTGTCCTTCGCTTCCCAGTGCCCTGCTCCTGCTTCTTAGCAGCTATGTCTCACACCTTTTCTGTTGGCTGTCATTCCCAGAGTGGAAGCTCGAGGGCGGCAGGGATTATGTTTCTTCTTTCACTGTTGTACCCACAGTGCCTGAGAAAGAACCTGGAACAGAGTTTGAGTGTTTGATGAATGAATGAACAAAGGAATGAGACATGTTGAAAACTAAATTGTGATGAGGTTGTGTAGAGGCTTATTAATTAGGCCTCAGTGTTTTAAAAGACAAGCCTGTGACAGTGAGGTCCAAATGCTTTCCAGTTCTCTGCACTTGCGCCAGGCTGAGCTGGGCTCCAGAGTTGGGAGTCAGGGTGTGTTGAAGCAAAGATCAAAAGGTGAGAAAATTCAGAGTGACTAGAATAGAAAAAACCTGATTTAAAGCTGTATTTTTAGCAAATATGCCTTCCTTTCGGTCTGGAAATAGTATCTGGAAATTAAAGATAAAAGATGAAAATTAAAAAGATAAGTGGGACTTAAACCAGTCTGCAAACACTAGTACCTGTCCTGTGCCCCATTGTGTCACCAGTCACTGATAAGGTGAGATTTGCATGCACCTGCCCCCAGGTTTAGGAGAATCACAGTGACATGGATGTTGTAAAAGACTTGTCCCCTGAAGCTGGGTTTTTGGCTGTGTACAGATATGCAGTAGAAATAGTGCTTAAAATGAGTGAGGCACTGTATGAAGAGTGTCCTAAATCTCCATTAAGATGATGTCAGCGAGTGACTATTACAATGAATAGCCATTTCTTTTTCTGGAAAAAGTGTAGATCCAGAACTTGTTTCTTCTCATGAGTAGTCAGGGTGCCCGATCCCTCCCCTGCTCCAGCATGTATGTGGGTGAGTGTAGAGCCCGGCCTCCCATCTTGCCAGGTCAATAAATGTGCCAGCAAGGGCTTCATTCGGACATAACATCTTGATTCTACAGTCTCACTCTGCCTAAAATTAGTAATACTGTATGCTACCTTTGTTAAAATTTCTTTTTTTGAATTGACAACTCAAGATGTTTATTTGTGAAAAGAATACTTTCTTTGGGTTCTCAAATTAAGCTCAGCATGTGAACTGACAATTTGTGTAGCTTCTTATATTCATGTAGCTCCTTAACTAGTGTGTTAATTGTTCTGCTGCTCCTAATTTTAGTGAAAGTGCCAGTTAGTTATTTAGAAAGTCAAGTGGAGAACTTTGAATTCTTGAAAGACTTGGAAAGTTAGTTTTATAAATATATAAATTTGTTAGGAATTTTTAGAAAAGTAAATTAAAAAATAAATTTTAAAAAGTTACTGAAATGACCTAAATTTTTATTTGTAATTGTACAACTTCCTTGACCAAGGAATAGTTTTTGTGTGAGTGGTTACTTGTGAACTGCTCTGAAAGCACCTCCACCCCACAGAACAGACACTAACCTTCCATCAGGGTGTTTTTTTAATGGAAGGAGATGAGCGTGTTCACCCCGTCTTTCACACCCACTTCTGTATTTACCATGTGGTGTTCGTGTTCTGGCATTGCCTGAGATTCAGACACAGATCGGGGGCACAAAAGTGACCGCTACAGAGGCAGGGAGAACACTTTGAGAATACTATTTGAGGGTAAAAATAACACTAGCTATTCTGTGCAAAGTACTGCATTCAACGGGAAGAGCTGCGTGTGGGTGTCCTGGCTGTGTGGCTTGTGGACTGTAAGGTCGATACAGGTGGCTCCCAGAAGCAGATGGATCGCTGCTGGCCACTCTATCCTGTGGGAGCCCCCAAGGTGTGCCCAAGGGCAGACGTGGTGTTGCCTTGTGGAAAAAGGGATCCTGCTTCAGCGTGCAGTGCGATGTTGTGAAGACTTAGAGAAGGAGCTGCTTTTGGGTGATTATGGAGCAGGCACATGGATCTTCCTTTTATGCCTCTGGTTTGTAATGTTTACCAGCAAATGAGGAACTTAACATTGGCTGTGCTGTTTTTCTTTTCTAGCTTCCAAAGGAATTGTCTTCAGAGACTTTTGACAAGACCATCTTAAGAGCCCTGAACCAGGGTTCATTGAAAAGGGAAGAACGGCGACAGCCTGACCTAGAGCCCATCCTAAGGTAACAGTTTACCTGTGCTGTCCCAGCAGATCACAGGCCGGACTGTGGACTGAGCAGAGGACTTAGGTGGGGATATGGGAGGGGCTCAGAGGTGCTTTTTTCCTGCAGTACTTTTTAAAATGGACACAGTCTAGGCTTACAGTAAGAGATAATTAAACTGATTTAATATTGTACTCTTCAGCTCTCTTGATACCTTAAGGAATTGCTTCTAAAATCCACAAATATTCACTGAATCCTCTCTCTCTATAAACTGTTTATTGAAGGAGACCCCTGTCTAAGAATGCAACTTTGGAGATGTGTTTTATCTTAAACTGTCATGTTATATTAGGTTAGTAGGTGGGAAAATGAAAGGAAACAGCACTTCCGACTGCCTGCTGTTTGGTATGGGGGTTGGTGCGGGGGGGGGGGGGGGTCGGGGGTGTTGAGGCTCAGTGCTGGAGAAGGTGAGGTCTTTGCCCTCACAGGGTTGATGGGCTTTTAGAAAAGATGGGTATAGGCAAGATGATTGTTGCATAGGCTGCCAGGGGCACACAAACCCTGCCTGGGATTAGCTCCAAGACATCCCATGCTCCCTTGGAGAGGGAAGAGAGGAGGTAGAGGCAAGGGGGGTGGTGTTGTTAGCCACATAGGACTCCCTGAGCAAGCAGGGTGGGTGTGGGTATAGGTAAAGTTGCTTACTTGATGACAGCAAGTTGAGGGATCTCTTGCCTAATGGTTTTTATTTTCTCCAAGGTAAGAGATTGGCCTAAGAAGGAGTAGATTGAGAACGGGGTCAGATGTTTGGGAGTGTAAGAGATTTAAAATAATCTTGTGGGAATATGGAGAACAACCTGACAGGGGATGCCTCTGTAAGCCGCCCAAGGTTTGGAGTCCAGTTGCAATGGGAGCTTCATAAATGATATCGCTGTATCAGTCTGTCCTGCTGAGGGAATTAAAAAAATCCTTCCAGTAGCTCAGACCTACCTGATAGGGAAGCCATTGGTTGGATTTCCCTGGATAAAGACTCTCTTGGGTGTGACAAAAGGACATGGGGGAGAGAGTTACTTTAAAAAAAAAAATGATGTGCAGTTGGATTCAAAGAGTAAAAGTCAGGGGCTCTTACCGTAGAATGAGCTGCTGGTGGGGAACAGGCGTCAAGGGAATAATCCATTTGTGAAGGAAATGGCAAGTTGAGATTTGAGTGGGAAACGTCTGAGTTAGTGAATGTCGAGGACAAGCGACTCCTTGCAGTGTGGGAAGTTTGGAGTGTGGTTTGGTGATGCTTGTACCTGCGTCCCCCCGCCCCTTGGCAAGAATGGCCAGAGGGGAAACTGCCGTTGTCCTGGAAACTTGGAGTAACGAGTCAAAGCCGTGGTGGAGCATGTGTGCTTAGAGGCAGGGCTTGCGTGAGGCTGCTGCCCGCCAAGCCCGAGACGGCCTGATTTGGGAAGCTGACTTGCTGAGGGGGAGTGTGTCATTCACTGTACTGACGCTCCCATCCTAAGTGAGGGCCCCGTGAGTGTCCTCTGGGTGGGGTGCCGCTCGAAGGAATGTTTGCTCCTCTATGTAGAGAAGCAGAAATCTGGGAGGGGAGAGTATTTCATTCTAAGGCAGAATCCAGGGTGTGCCTGTGGACGTGAATGATTGAAATAACTCAGGAGCTGGAGGAAGTCACTGGGGAAAAGGCAGCCCAGCAAAAAGTCCGGCGTATTCTGTCACTCAGGCAGAGCATGACAGACGACTAAGCGTGGAGAAGACCGCGAGGCCGGTGCTAAAACTGAATGTGGAACAGTGGCCTGGAGGCCAGTGCTGACTGGTTGAGTGGCAGCCCCACGAGGTGTCCGCATTCTCACAGCCCTGGTATGGCAGGAGGGCCGGGGCGATGGGCCCTCCCACCGGAACAGGCGGGATGGGCCTAGCAAGATTGGTCAGCATAAGGGGGTTCAGGCTTTGTTCATTGAAGAACTTGAATATGTGGGGCACCTCAGTGGGCACAGTGGAGGAGTTCAGAGAAAGAGGAGGAGACATGGGTAGGGCTAGGTCCAGGAGACCCTCCAGGGGTGAGACTGCATAAGAGGTTGGGTGATGGCAGTGAGGAATAAATAGCTGAATTCCGGAGTACCCTAGGCTGTTTGGACTTCAGTGGGCATATGCATGCAGATTTTTGTTCTCAAGTGCTGGGTGGGCCCCGTCTGGGATTCCAGTAGACGTTGGTCATCCAGGGAGCAGACCTGTAGTAGCAGACCTTAGAGGGGACCGAGCACGCAGATCCCCACATCTGCAGCAGCTGAGAAGGGAGCTGCTGCTCTGGGATAGTGGGGTGGGTTCGTCCCACAGGGGGAGCCTGGTGTTCCCCATGGGAGGAGATAGTGAGGATGGCGGCCTCTGGGGGGTGGCCACCTGCAGAAGCACATCTTCCAGATGTGCTCATTGACGTCCCTTGCCCTTGTTGGCTCAATGTGTGCTGTCTCCAGCCAGGCGGTGGTTATACCTTGGCGTCAGCTTTGTACCAAAGTCCTTACGTTGCTGTGGTCATGACCAGTGGTCACCTCGAACTTCCATAGCTGTACCACTCCAGGTTAGAGGATACAATCTCATAAAATCCTACTTGGGATTTGGCTTTTTTGCTTTGTTTTTAAAATACAAAGTGCTTGATACAGAATCATGCAGGTAGATACCGTGATGTTTGGGACTTCATGGCAAATCCAACGTGGTTATGGTAGCTCACAAAATGACACAGAGATTTTTGTTTTTATTTATGGTGTCTGTATGAGGAGATGGCTGCCGGCTGCCCCTGTTGTGGTTGTCACTTGGCAGTGTTGTGCATTGGCCATCTGCCTTAGGTTATGTCCGCCTGATGCACAGTGATGTGTGCATGTATGTTGTACATACACATGTGTATGTACATGTATGATGTATGTAAGTCATTTCACAATAAAACTGGAAAAAATCCAACAGATGCGCAATATAGAACCTTTGGGAAACACAGAAGAGTACTGAAAAGATGACAATTATCCAAATAACTGTTACCACGTTTTTTTCTTTGAGTTTTTTGTTTTGCCTGTAATACTAGATACGCAGTTTTATATTCTATTTTTTCCCCTGAAATTATGAGGATCTTATATCTTAATTCTTCAGAAGCATTTTGAATAGCTGCAAAATATATCCCATCTGGCTGTATAATCTTAGACTTTTTCTCAGTTGTTGGGAATAAATTTTCTGTTACTTATTTTTTCCTAAATATTAAGCTTTGAACATTCTTGTGTCTAAAACATTTCCCGGATTTATGAGTAATTTTTGAGGAAAGATTCTTTGATTTACTGATTCAAAGAACAGACTCCTCTTTAAGAATCTGAAACATATTTTTTCTTACGGAAAAGTAGTTCACGTTCCCAGTGTTTGAACTTGCCTGCGTACCACAGGTCGGCTAGCTGCAGTATCACTTAAGAGATATTTGCCAGTGTGATCAATGATTATCTCACTGCTTTTTATTTCCTTTATTAGTGAAATTCAGCCTTTTTGTAACTTCAGCGATTTGTGTATTTTGTAAAACTATCTTTCCTTTACCAATTTATTGTTGTGCTTTTTAGTGTTTTTAATTTTTAAATGAAAACTATTTCTTTTAGTAACGTTATTTTTTCGTTAGCTGTGATATTTTAAAATGAAGTTTAAAGTATGGGGAAAATCAATACAGGAATGAAATTGGATTACTCACTCTGTGACTTTAATCCAAACAGATTAAAAGATTTAGATGTAAGATCTACAGCAGGAAAACACTGGTGATATGTTCCATGGTGTCAACGATAGGATATCTTCGGGGACTCAGCCACAGTGACAAGGGAAATAAAAACAAAAATAAACAATTTGGTTTTACATCAAGTTAAAATGCTTCTATACAATGAAAGAAAACATAAGACGATTCAGAAGATACCCTATTAATGGGAAAAAGTATTTATATGATAGATATCTGATAGAGTAATAACCATGATGTATAAAAACTCATAAAATAGTAAAAAGCAAATAACCCAATTAATAAATGGGCAGCTTATATAGACAGTTCATCAGAGAGGATATCCAGAAGGCCAAAAGACATATAAAAAAGTGTTCATCATTGCTTCTAATAAGAGAAGCAGATTAAAACTACAATAAGATACTACTTTACACCCTTGAGAATGCCATATACTGAAAAGACCTCCAACAAGTGCTAGAGAGGATGTGAAGAAAAAGGATTACACCGTTAATCAGAATATAAACTGGTGCAGTCGCTGTGGATAGTAGTCTGAATTTCTCTTAAGCTAAAAGTGGAAATACCATATGTCCCAGTGATCCCACTCTTGGGCATCTCCTTAAAGATTGTATGTTCCACAGTATTCTTAGCAGCATTATTTACAGTAGCTGGGATCTGGAAGCAGCCTAACTGTCCTCCATCCATCAAAAATTAGATCAAGAAGATGGGGTATAGCCATACCATGGAGATTCTGTAGCTCTACGAAATGATGAAATAAAGCCATTTCAACAGAATGAATTCTGTGCAAGGAAATAAGTCAAAACAATAAGGAAATACTCAACATTAGATCACAGACAATTCGATAACATTAAACACTTTAAAAAACCAGTAGACATTAAATATCCTGAGGGCTCTGAGGTAAACGTGGAGAAGAGTGGAACAGAGACAAGGGGACACGCAGCGGGGTGGTGGGGGGAAAAAAGAACGGAAGAACTGGCTTAAGCTAATAGCCACCGTCTCTGAGCCTTGTGTGAGATACTGTACATCGTCTCGTTTCATCCTCCCCCCGCCCCAGGCTACATTATTCCTCATTTTACAGAAGAAAACTAATTTCAGGCTCATGTAATAGTTAAGCAACAGGACTAGGGGTTGGATTCAGACTTTTCTAACTTGAATTAAACCACAATACTTATTTAAAAAATTACGTGAGGTCTGTTAGTCTTTGTTTCTGTGTACTGGAATACCTCTTTCATGGATAAAGGCATTCCCTGATCAGCAAAAGGCAGGTACACCTCTGTGGCCATGTGGGAATGAAAGGTCGGAACTCTGCATCATTCCTTACACCAGCATTAACTCTAGATGGCTCACGGGCTTAAATAAATGCAGGAAAGAAACATGAGATTAATAATATGTGTATGAGAGGTTTTCCAAGTGTTGCCTAACACCTAGTTACCACTAAAGAAATGGAAATTTGAATACTCAAATTTCTGCACAGTGTATAAAAGAAAATACATTACAAACAAAATGAGGACAAATCTCAAGTTCAGAAAAAAAAAATACTTGCAGTGATTTCTATTAAAAAAAAAAACAAGCAAACAGGGCTTCCCTTGTGGCGCAAGGGGTTAAGCACCGCACTATGGAGCAATCCACAGCCTCCGCAGCACCAGTTCGATCCCCAGCTGATCCCGGCCAGGCAGGGAGCAACCCACAGACCTCTCCTGTCTTGCCCGCTGCTCCCCTCAGCAATGTATTTCAGTCAGTCTGCCTGCTGTTCCCCACTGTGTCTCTGGTGAATCCTCTCACAACCCCTCCGCCCCCGCATCCTCTGGTCTGTACCCCAGTTCTTGGATGCATAAATAAATAAATCTTTTAAAAAAGAAAAAACTAATTAAAAACCAGTAGCCTAAAGCTGGGAAAAAAATGAGAGCAGGTGTAAACAAAAATAGCACGGAGTTAGGTATCATTTAAACACGAAAAGATGCTTATACTCAGAAATATAAATTAAAACTTTAAGTTTTTATTTAATCTTTGTTGAAGATGCAAATCAAAAAGTTTGGTAAATAGGTGGTGAAAGGTGTTAATTTGGTAAAATTTTTGCAGATAGGTAATTGGCGATATTCATACTTAAACGAAGATAGCTTTTGCATGGGAATTCATCCCACAGGTATATTCCCATTCAAATGCAAAGATGACTGTGCCAGCATGTTTACTGCTGTACTTTTTGACTAGAACAGATTAGAAATTACTAGATGTTGAAAGGGACTTGGTTAAGTCACAGCGTGTCATTCACTGGACTACTGAGCAGCCTTCATGAAAAGAACAGGTGAGAAAAGGAAGAAGGAGGCACAGCTTTTCAGTGGGTGTGTGCGTGAGGGTGGCCCGGCACTCTGCTTGGAGGGCAGCAGCCGTGACGGGGCAGAGAGGTTATCACAGGGGGTTGACCTGTTAATAAATATTTGAATAGTGAGAGCCAGGGCCTTTTCTCTCTGTTGAAGGGAGTTACAGGAAGGAAAAGGAGAAAATGAGAACACACCCCGTAGTGGCAGGTGGGAATTGAAGATACTGGTGAGAACTCATGGATTTCTATATAAATGAATACAGTCGTGTGTGTATATGGCTTCAGTGGTTGAATGACAAGATATTTACAGTATCAAATTCCTTTCCCACAACATAGTGCTGATTAATTATAAATGGAGGGAGAGTAATTCTAGAGGGGAGAAGCCTGACAGGTGCCACCCTAATCTCCACTAAAGTGAACTTGATGAGTGAAGGGTTAGGATTGCCTACCACTCGGTAGGCTGTAGTGAAAGAACACGGCCTCACTCCTGGGATGCTTCTGTGAGTCTAATGGTGGGGAGACATCAAAGAAACCCGAACTCCGACCTCTCCACAACAGCCTGGTCTGTCCTCTGAAAACCTCCAGAACTGAGCGAGTGCCAAGCAATTTGAGAGACCAGGCCCTGAACTGGGACTTTCGGGGATAAGAATGCTTAAGGGTCCATTGGGAAAGCCTAAACAGTCTGAGGATTTGGAGGTCACAATGTATCAATATTAATAGAGACCCCCAAACACTTCTAATGTGAAACGGTCATTTGTACTTACTCATTTTCCTACCTGCTTATCTTGGTTCAGGGCTTCTGCTGCCTGGAGGCTCTCCCTGCAGCTTAGGGCTCCAGGCCTAGACACGATCTTGTTCCATGGCAGGTGCATCTCACACACCCACACTCCAGCTGGGCAATTATGAGACACGCCCATGAGCCTCATATGACCATCCTAGGATGTGGGAGGAGCCCAAAGGACCTGCAGAAAAGTCCATGAAGACTGTGGTGGGAGGGAGGGGCCGGGCGTGCAGACTGCACTCACAGTGGCCTCCGGGAATCAGTTTCCGTTCTTACCAACATTCTAACAAAATGTCAGAAGAGCTGATGTTCTTCAAGGACCTGCTGAACATGTGAAAAGTACCTGCTGCATCGCTTCTTGGCCTTTTGGCTAAGATCAGGTGTGAAAAGTACCTCCTGCCTTTTTGCTACATGATATTCCATTTTCAGTTGTGCCATAACTAATTGGTATGATTTATGGTCATTTTGATTGTTTCTAAATGTATTAAAACTGCTTCAAACACTATTATAGTGAACGTCTACATTTTAAAATCACATTTGGATACAATTATCTGTTGTATAAATTTGTAGGATTATTATTTGGTTAAAGAGATGCATTTTAAATTAAGTACTTCCAAATTGCTTCCAAAGAGGTTGCAGCAGCCTTTATACCCTCAGGAGCCTTGTGTTTGTGTCTTTACACTACAGCAGACATCAAATATTCAATTTCTCATCTTTGCCCATCTCAAAAAGGGAGACTGCACTTCATCTGTATTTGAGTGACCATTTTATCTTAACCATGAATGGCCATTTTACTGGTTTATGAGCACTGATTTATTATATTGGAAAAGGAACCCTGTTTGTCCTCATTTCTTGTCCATGCAGATGGTTTAAATTTTTATGTGATGGAATTTATCCAGCCTTTTCTCTTTAGTTTCAAGATTTTGTGTCATGTTTAGAAGGGCTTTTTCTTCTCAAAAATTTTTTCATTTTATTAATATGCATTTTTCAGTGAGTGGTTTTTTAAAATATGACTTTAAATATCTAAGTATGTATACGTGTATCATATGTATGACTAGCCTTTGTTCTCAATACCACTTTATTTTTTTAAGATTGATTTATGATGGGGTGTAGGTGGGTGAGAGGATTCACCAGAGACAGAGTGGGGAGCAGAACAGGCAGATTGGTTGAAATACACTGCTGAAGGGAGCAGTAGAGGGCTGAGACTTAACCCCTTGAGCCACCAGGGAGGTCCCATTACCACTTTCAATGGGATACTGTATGTTCACAGTTGGTGAATTTTAGATTAGTATCGTCATCAGTCATATCACTTATGTAACAGTTATAAAGGAGGGGATGGAATGAAAAACAGGATATGACTTTATAAGCAAAGGAGAGCTTGGTGGTCACAATACACTGCTTCTAATTCCAGTGTAAATTAAGGAAGTGAACACACAGCCCTGAAGTGTGCATGAGGTGATGGCCAACTTATGTCAGCACATAACCTTGTCTGATTTAATTTACTAAGTGGCCACTTTGATTTTTTTTTTTTAAACAATTTTTTATTTTTATTTTTATTTATTTACACAAGCACTGGGTACAGTCAGAAGCGCGGGAGGGTGAGAGAATTCACCAGAGCCAGAGCGGGGAGCAGAGCAGGCAGAAGGACCGAAGCACACTGCTGAGGGGAGCAGCGGGTGGCAGGAGAGGTCTGTGCGCCATGTGGGACCCTCCTTCAGTGGCCGAGGAGCAGCCGGGGATCGAACCGGTGCTGCAGAGGCTGCGGGCAGTTTCGCAACCCAGTGCTCAACCGCTGCGCCACCGGGGAGGCCCCTTTGATGTTTTTATTTAGGTGGAATTGCCTCTTGGAGTTGTACGTTAATGAACCTTGACTTTAGTTCTCCTGATTTCAAGCCCATGGCTTTATCTCAGGCGTGATTTACCTATAAGCTTGGCGTTCCCATAGGGCTCTGCAGCTGGCATTTGAGTCATAAGTGGTACCCATGCTGTCTTCTGGGACCCAGAGCTTGACTTGAAGGTGTGATTGTGCTTTTGACCAATTGGTTTATAAATGTAACTAGGCCATGGCTGGTATCACTGCCTTTTGGTCATGTTTGACTTGGATATTTAGGTCCGTTAACTCCATACCTCATTTCACTTTGTTTCCACCCTTTGTTGTCCTATTTGATGTCTCCACATTTGAGGACCAAGCAGCAATTTTGCATCGTTTCCAAGGCATTATTTGGCCCTATCCGTCATCTTTTGGTACGGTATTTGATGGTTTTATGATTCATCCGAGTTATAGATAAAAAACCTGAAATGAAATCGACGCATGGGCAGTGTTGACAGCAGTGAAAGGGGAAGTGTGTCTCGAGCGGGTAGCAGCTCAGTCTGTATGTGCTGGCGTGTCTAGTCACCTCAAAGAACAAAGAACTTACGAGGAAATTAATGCTGAAAGGCGAAAATAATGTGTTGGAGACTTAGCTTGTAAGTGGCCGAGTAGAATCATTAGCTTAGAGTAGAATCCAGTTAGATGTGCTATGACTTGGACCCGTTTTGCAGAGACCCCCTTGTAGGGAGGGGGCCTCCGATTGGACAATTTGAATTATATTAATACAACATGAGGAAAACTGTTTTTGTAAGATAACCAACTTAGAACTGGGGAGTGGCGCACAGTGGCGTGAATCATCAGTCATGCCGTGGGATGTAGTCACACCATACCAGCCCTTCACCATTTCCGAGTCTGCCAGCTTCAAGCTCCACATGTGGGAAGGTGTCTTCATGGTTTAGCGAGATGATGGAAAGTAACATAGATGAAGGGGAAGAAAGAAATTCTGCTTCATTTCCTGAGAAAGACAGCAGTTGGACCACTTTGGGCTTTTTTTTTTTTTTTTTTTTTAACCAGAAATCAAGCCTCACCACAAGATTTTAGAAAATTGAAAATAAACTTGTTTATTAGATTCTTACCAAAGAAAGTTTTGTTAAATTATAATTTACTCTCTCCTATGGGAAATTCACTAGCAAACAATATTCATTTACTTAGGTAAACTGTATTTTTTTAATATCTGAATTAACTGCCACCTAAGTTTGCTTCACAATCTAAACTGAGACTTGTGGATTTATATTACATGAAATTAACAGATCTCTTCTTTTTATATGCAGGCAGCTATTTGCAACTTCATCGCAAGCTTTTCTACAGAGTCAGAAAGTGCACAGCTTTTTTCAGTCCATATCATCAGACCCACTACACAGCCTCAGTAAGCATCCTGCGTGCCTGTAGAAATTCACCAAGTCTTGCTTGGTTTTTTTTTACTTTACTTAACTATGCCATCTGGTATGGGGTGGTTGTTTGAAAGACAAGGAATAGTTGCATGCATTTAAGAAACAGTTGCATTTTTAAATGAATTTCATGCTGCAGTTTCGAAGAAAATAAACAAAAGCTGATTCCAAGGAAAAGCCCAAGTGTCTCTGAAACTAGTGACATACTCAGTCCCTCTGACCTTAACAGAGCCAGCTGACAGGTGGCAGAGATGCTACAGTGATGGTTGCAGGATCTTCTTTAAAATCTGCCTTTCCCCTCCTCCATGATGACCCTCCCCTCTCCTCCCCAACCTCCCATACTGGAAACATTGGCCTTATTCCTTTCACTTTTCCTGCCTGGCTTCAGTCATTTAAAGGCCGGGCCTTTAAATCTCCTCTTGTTGGGTCTCTCACTAATTACCTGCAAAGCCCTGCTCTTTTCTCAGATTATAGTTTCTCATTATACTTTAACCAGCATTATTTCAGGAATAAATTTGATAAGTCCCTCTTCAGAATCTGAAGGTTGGGTGTGAAATTCAAATCCTGCCATGCGCTCACTTGGGCCTCCTTTCTTCAGTTCTCAGGCTTAGCTGCTCCACTGGCATTTGCTCGGTACCCCTGACCGTTTCCAGCTTATGTTCCCACTCATTCCTTCTGTGCCCTTCCATGAGTGTCCTTCCTTGTCACGGCCTGTTATAAAATCACACCTGCTTTAAGACCCAACTGAAATATCACCTCAGGAAGAGTTTCTAGTTTTTCTGAATGTTCTTGTACTTCAGTATTACTCACATTTCAACATTCATCACAGTCCGCCTTGTGTTTAGTTTTATACACATCTGTCTACACAGCTGCCTTTTGACAAATATTTTGCCAGTAACACTGATGGGCATTTTAGGAGAATTTCTCCCAACATTAAGCACATTCACTGTGGCAAGTGGGTATTTTGGTTTTTGTATCTTCTACTTTCAACAAAGTTACATTTTCCTGTACCTAAAAGAGAAGGAAAATGCATGTTTCCTCAATTTGAGGTGGGAGGAAAAGGTAAAAAAAATGTGGAATATTATATAGGTTAATTTTTGGAAATTTTCTAATCATTTGTGTAAATATACCTGCCTTCGATATTTTAAACATATAATTAGCAGTTAGAGTTAATGGTTCTTCTTGATTAGTTGACTAAGGTAAGATGAGCAACTTCATGGTTAAATTCATATCTAACAGTCACAGCCTTTTTTTTTTTTTTTTTTGAAGAGAATCCTGATCCTAGAGCTGTATAGAGTTATCAATCACTGCTTTCTACTTGAACCAGTAATTTTTGATGAATAGCTATAAATAGCTTCTCTTCTCTACAGGCATTGAAACACAAAGTTAAATTAACTCAGATTAACGGCTTGACCAGAAAAATTCACCCAAGTAAATAGTCCAAATGTAACTAATAGACATCATCTTGAGAGCTTGGTGGTATTTAAATTACAGGAACAATGCTAAAGAGGCTGGTAGACTTTAAGATTCCTAATTGTTAGGAAATTAAAGCACTGTATTACAGTGCATGTGTTGAGATTATGGATGGGTCAAGGTAGTGGTTTTTTGTGCATGTGCAAGAAGTTTCACCAAAGAACACATGTTGTCAGAGTTCATTTGCACTCTTGACAAAATGACAGTGGTACCTTTCTTCCCCTGGGGTAGAGAGCAATGTTCCATGTCCTGACAACTGAGAAAGGGGCATTGAACCCCTAAATGACTTAAGATGTTCAACTCTGGAAACCCACTGTCTGTATTTTAAAGGGGGGGGTGGGGTGGGTAATCCAGTGCCGTCAGAATGTGTTCTGTGGGTCAGTGCTAGCACGAAAGATAGCTTGTCACTGGTTGGTAATAGAAGAACAGGAACTGAGTAGATAGTGAAATACTTTTGTAGCGATTTAGTGCTGCCTCATTTTTATTTCAAAAGTAAAGGTCCACAACAAATTGAAAATTTTTAAAAAGTTGATGTCTTTCCATACCAATTAGTGCATCTCTTCTTCTTCCACCTGAGCCCGTGGGACTGACAGATGTGTAGCAACTAGCCATGCCGTGGCTCAGGATCCCAACTCCAGTGCTAAGTCCTTGAGCTTTCTGAGAGGCTCCGACTAGTAGAGATACTCCAGTTACCAGTAACCCTCCTTTTGTTTCCCTTGAGGGGAGAGTAATCTTGAATTTGTTGCCTTTATCTCTTAATGATTTCCCTAAAAAGTTAATGATATTAAATACTTAACTGCAGATAACCTACAATCATCACTGAAGACTTCTAAGATACTAGAACACTTAAAAGAAGATAGCTCAGAAGCTTCAAGTCAAGAAGAAGGTAAACGTTAATTCACTAAAATAAGTCGTTCTGCATCATAGTGGCATAGGAGTAGGCAAATAGACAAGTAGAATAGATTTAGGAGCCAAGAAACAGACGTATGGGAACTCAAAATGTGACAGGTGCCTTTACAAATAAGTGGGGAAATTGGAGACTGTCAGTGAATTGGAGACTGTCGGTAATTATATATGTTTGATCCCTATTTGAAACATGCACTAAAATTCTAATTGAATAACAATCTGTGTGTAACATATATTATAACATTGTAATATATGAAATGTAAACCTTAAACTTTTAAATGTTAATATCTGGGAAGAGGCTTTTATAAACAAGACAAAGCATGATCAGGGTGGAGATCTTTCAAATCTGAAACAAGAAACCAGACAGAAAACATTTGCAGGATATTTGCAGAAAACACTAAAAAAGATTCTCCTCAAAATCACTGAGAAAGCCTGGCAGTATGAGCAAAAATTACAGACAAGCAGTTCATAGAAGAAGAAACTTGGGAGGCCATTAAGCAGTTTCTGCCTCTCATGTAGTCCAGAACCTGCAAATTCAAAACAGTGGGCTGTCAGGTCATACTCATCAGATGGACAAAATATTTTCCAATCTCGTGTTGTCAAGAATACGAAATTATCACAACTCTGATGGGAATATAAATTTGATGCACTGTTTTGCACAGAAATTTAATATTGTACAGTGAAGTTTGAGGTAATTTTATGCTTCTGCTCAACAGTCCTGCTTCTGTGACAACTGTTGTCCATGTGCTTAGGGGACAGGGACAGAGGTGCCATAGCTGCAGTGTCTGTAATACAAACACCCGGTATTCCCAAATAATTTAAATGTTAATAAAACTTTAAATTGTGGCATATCCATGCCAGGTGGTAATAAAAAAGAAGAATATTTGCATTAGACTCAAACATGCAGCACCACTGTCTGTGCTTGTGCGTACAGTTAGGGGTAGTTAAAAGAAAAACATGGTCTAGGTTTTGTAACTAGTTAGCTTCGGGAGGGGGGAAATGGACAAAGGGCTTCCATTGTTGCTATGAAATTTTCTTTCTAAAAAAATGAAAACAGATTATCTGGGAAGTGGATATATGGGTGTTTGCTATGTTAATCTATGTGATTTTTAAATATTTGAGATGTCCATTTCATTAAAAATTGCATTTTTTAAATTCTGTTTTTTAAGTAGAACTTTAAAAATTTTAAAAAGGGTCTAAAATTGATGTGGTTTTGCAGTGACTGCTCATTTTAGACTTTCATAGTTATGGACAAAATTGATTTCTTACTAGGTAGAACACATCTGAAAGGAGATTTAAGAAAATTTTAGTTTTTTTAATTTTGAAAAGTTGCTCTGTAAGGAATTTTCCTTCATGGAAAAATACTTAGAAGTTTGTCGCCCTGTCTTGGTCACAGTCATTGTTTTGGATTTTCACAGAAGCGTTTTTGGTATAACAGTTGTTTTTTTCCTGTACTCTAGATGTGTTACAGCACACCATCATCCACAAGAAACACACCGGGAAAAGTCCCATTGTGAAGTAGGTATCTAATTCCTAAAACTTGAATGTCTTTGTGCTTTTTTAGAGTGACACTAACTGCCAGTATGTTTGACAGCAGTTCTGCCATTTTGCTTTACCTGTTGCTCATGCCACCTGTTCTGTGTTTCCTTTTCACTCCTTTCTTGCTTTGGGGTGGGTGGCTTTTATAATTTTTTCTCTTCTATCAGACATGCTAGCTATGCGTTTTTCGATTCTCTAGTGGTTACCTAGAGTTTATGTCACACCTTTTTATAGTAGTCTTAGCAACCCTTACTCTCTGAGGTCTGATGTTGTACCTTAATACGCGTGCGCCACTTCATCTCTCCTCCATCTATAAACTGTAGCTGTCCTGTGTATTTTAAACCTCATGACACCTTTTTTTCAGTAATTATTTAGATTCTGCCAGTGCTCGTCCTTCCTTCCTGTGTATCTAAGCATCCACAGGCCCTTTGCCTTCTCACTGAAGAACATTTGATTATTTCATATAGTCATGGATGGTTCACAGTGCTGGATTCACTTCATCCGAAGAAAACATTTATTTTGCACTCATCTTTTAGAAGATAATTTCCCTGTTATGGGAGTCTAGGTTGGCATTCTCTGTGAGTGCTTTGTGACAGTGTGGCAATTACAATCCTGCTGTCCTTTCATCCCTTGCATAGAAGCCTCCAGTCCCAGCCCTGACTTCTGTTGCAAATCACATGAAAACATTTCTGTGACTCCTGACCCCCTGGCCTTGGTACTGTCCCACAGCAAGCATGTGCCCCAGGCTTTTCCTCTCCGCCTGGGGGCCCTTGCTGATTCTGCGGGGATCTGCTTGACTCTCCAAGATGCAGGGAGGCTTGACTCTCCAAGTACATGCAAGGGAGGCCATTTCTTTGGGGTTAGCCCTCAGTGCATGGGGGTACTCCAGCTGCTGTCCTTCGGGCAGTAATCCTGGGAGGTCCCAGCAGGGTTGAATCTGTCACTGTGGCAGCAGCCTCAGCCATGCCCCTGACACTGGTGCTTCCTTTTTCATTCATGCCACTACTTGCTCCTGCTTCCTGGGATCACCTCCCAAGTGAACCACAGCCTCCCAGATCCCACTTTCAGAGGGAACTCAGATGTGAGGTGGCTGTCATTCGTTGCTTCAATCTTATTGTTGCTCTTTTGAAGTTAATGTACTTTTCCCGACTGATGGCTTTTTAAGATGGTCTCATCGTCTGGATTTCTCAAGCTGTCCTGTGATATATTTATGGTTTTCTTTGCATGAGTTCTGCTTCTCGAGTCTGAAGCTTTGATGCCTTTGGACCTTAGGGGGGTGTAGACCACGATCTCCAGGTGCTGCTGCTCCCTTGTCCTCTTCTCCCATCTTTGTTTGACACAGTGTCTAGTGAGCAGGCTTCTCCTTGTCCTCACATCACCACTGCCAGTGGGGCAGGGAAGGCCTGGAATTTAAAGGCAGAGCGTGTGTTTTTTGTTAATCTCCTCAGAGACAAGTGTCAGTTATTAAATAGAGAAGATAGTTCCGCGCTGGTTTCTTCTCGCCGTAGACTGCTTTTGAGTTCTAGGAAAAAATGAGCGTACTGATGCTTTCTTCATGATAAAACTAGTACACTTGATGATTCCATACAGTAGACAGGACTGGGTTAGCTTAGTGAGGACAGATTTTCACGCTTGTGAACTTTCTCTTGGACAGCACTATTGGTACAAGTTGTTCTCCACTGGACGGGCTTCCCATGCGGTATTCCGAGCAGAACGGAGTCGTGGACTGGAGGAAGCAGAGCTGCACGGCCTCTCAGCATCCTGAGCACTGCGCGACCATGGTCGATCAGGTACGGGGGGTACTTTTTGTCTTGTTTTTGTGCCACATAGTTCAAACATTGTCACACATAATAAAACTGAGTTCTGTGAGTCTCATGTTGCTAATAAATTATTAGGGTATATTTGGTTAGAAATTAAGGAATGCTTATATGTTTGACTTTAAACCTATTACTGGTCTATATGTTCTAAGTTTTCCTGAGAGCCATTTGAAAAGTATGTTTATATTGCTTTTATTGCACATGTAGCAAACTTAGTACCTTTGAATATGATACCTTGAAATGTTTATTCTATTTGAGGGTATATAAAATTACTATGCCAGATGTTTTGCTTTAACAGTATCACTGACATTTCAGTCTTGCTCTTGATAATGTGACTTTTGAAACTGACCTACCCTCATGGGTGGCTTGACCTGTTTATGGGTTCTTCTCAATGTGGCTAAGGAACCCCTGCTTTTCTAGGGGCTGGTGTAATCAGAGAGCAGAATGCTCTCCAGTGGGACACCGTGGACACCAGGCTGGCAGCTGCGGGCAGAGCTGCCTCTTTGAGAAACTAGATTTGTTAACCTGACCTTTATTTCTAGTTAACATTCAGATTCAGGTGTTACCTTTACTGGAAGGTGCTTTCATGAACTAAAGCATTGAAGCATATTTTGAGAAAATGTGTGTTACCTTAAGTCATAGTTATATAATGACCTACTTTCTTTGTTCATTCAAGGGATTATACTTTTTCCTTCAACTTCAGTGCCTATCTCATCTTGAGCTGATAGTCATGTTAGAGCAAATACTATCCAAAAATTTAACAACACTGTAAGAAAATAAATTTAATTGTAAAAATAAATAAACAATAAAGCCAAATATAAAATAGATCTTTTTCTCATGGTTACTAGTAAATGTTTGTCAGAAAACATGTAAATTTTAAAGGTTCAGGTAGGTTACTTCAAAAAATAGGCTGAAAATAAAAGTGTATTAGAATGTACATCTGGGAATGTATTGTCTTAATGTTTGATTTTCAGAATAAGGGAGTAGCTAGATATAAATTTGGTTTAGCTTTAGTCTATGTAATGTCTTTTTATTCTTTCCACTAGCATTCAATTGAAAAACGAAGCTTATCTTCAATAAATAAGAAGAAAGGAAAGCCACAAATAGAAAAGTAAGTGCAAGTTAATGTTAACCAGGAACAGAAATGGTTCAGAAAAGACATATGATTATGGGTATGTTTAGGTTATTTGGTGAAAATAGTTTTCCTCTTTTTTTTTTTTTTTACCCTTGGGCTTTATTTTTCTCAGTTGAAAATAAACATATATTGATGACAGAAGTTGAACTGTCAAATATTCAGTTTGCAGTGACAAAACTCTCAGAACCATACACTAAGGGGTGAATATTGGCAATAGATTATAACTTAACTGATTTTTTTATTTATAAAAAACTTTTGAGGGGAATTTTAATAATTCTGTACTTAATGTATTTTTCTAGAGACCTTTATTAAAATATTGGTGACATGTATACTTTTGGTTTAGGGAGAAAATTAAGAAAACAGACCACAGACTGAGTAGTAGAATAAATGGCATTAGACTGTCCACTCCTCCGCACATCCATGACGGCTCTGTGAAAGGTACGGAAGTCTTTCTTTCAAGTACCCCTCTCCTAAGTACCCTTGTGTGCCACCTCTCAGGGTGGGTTCTGAGCCACTGTTTCAATCCTGATGCTTGCTTGCTTGACATGCACAGCAGTTTCTGAACAAGACGCTTCTGCGTATTAGTGGTCGTGTGGGAGACCGCACTCTGAGGAGATGAGCCTGTCCTAGGCCCTGGGGCTCGCACACCTGCCCCCTCTCCTGGGGACAGTTCTCTCCCCACTTGTTTCCTTAGCCAGCCTCTTCCTGATCCAGAGGCCGTGGAAGAGCTTTCCCACCTCATGGGAAGCCTGTACATGTTCTTGTGTAAAGGCGTTTTTCACACTCTTTCAATTTTTAATGACTTTCTGTGAACTTGACGGGGATTTGATTTAAGAGAACTTCGACCCTCTGGCTTTTGTTGTACTAGAGAGTGCTTTCCATTCACCCACCTTATGTTCAGTTTTGGTTTTTTTTTTTTTAGGTGAAATGTGTTAACTATTGGTTCATTGATAACTTTTCCATGTTATAGCAACCTTTACTCTGCACAGTAGAGATGCAGAAGAACAAAAGCCCACCTGGAGCTTATTTGTCCATGTGTACACCCATCACCTGTGTGGACTAGACTGGTCCCACAAATAAGGATTTTTTAAATTTAAATTGTATTCAAATGTTCACACATTCCATTGTGCGCAACCCAAATTACCAGAATGTATTTTTTAATGGAGTGTATTTTTGAACTAGATAATGGTTTAGAGAGATTGAATGTTGGCAAAAGAAATACAGTTTTATTTTGACTCCAAAATCACCTGGCCAACTCATTGAATCAGCTGAGTTCTCTTTAGAGGGGGGAAGATGACATGGAAAAAAGCCCGTATCATTTGTGAGTACATTGAAATACTTAACTGTCCTCAAGGTTTCCTGTGGCAATGGCAGCTGAAAACAAATGGCAGCAAAGCTAATAAATGAGGAAGGCAAAAGGTCGACATTCTTGAAAATAGGTTTTGCCTGGTCTCCTGTCTTTGTTCCTTTCTCCTCCATTTTCTACCTTCTGCCTCCTAAAGTACATACCAAATCAGGGTCATTCTCCTTTTGAAATTCTGTCAAACATATCACCCTGACGAGCTCACTCTCTTTTCTCTCACATAACTTGGGAGCTACTGCTCACCAGACTTCACTTTCATATTTTCATAGAAGCAGCCCAAGGTCTTTGATCTCAGACGATGTGGGTTTGACCCTTGTGCTGTCCCCATTGCTTAGATGTATGGTCTCTCAAGTCGCCTTAGTGTGCTCCTTTGTAGAACAGGAATGCTACTTCCCCCACCCCCACCCCCGCCAGAATTATGAATTGCATGTGATAACATACAAAAAGCATTTCGCTAGTACCAGACATGTAGGTGTTCAGTGATTTAGTTCCTTTACTCTCTAAAGTTAGGAAAAAACATACACTGTGTAGTTCATTAACTTTTTAATACCATCTCAAGTTCTGATTCTTTGATCTCTTAATTCTGAAATGTTGTAAAATTAAGATAAACCTTATCAGATCAATATGTCACTGATTCATGCACATTTACATTTATGGAATATAACTAATAAAACACACGTCATACAGCTTGTCTCACTGATGTCAAATGTAGGTCAGATATTTGTTGACTCCAGCTTAGAAAAAAACCTGTTTATTAATATCCCTTTGCAATATTAAAGTATCAAATGGGAAGTTCCTTTAAGCATTACCTGAACACAAGATATATTTGATTTTTTTCTTTATGGAACAATCCGTGTGCATATCATATCACAGAGATGCTGTATTGAAATTGAAAACACTCTGGGTCCTGCTGATGTGTAAGTTGTCGAGATCTTTTCCTCATTTTGGTTGAAGATGCTATCTATTTTTCATTTTAAAACTTCACTTCTATCTTCTATTTTAGGTAATTATTATTTATGTAGTTCAAAATCCCAAAGGTACAAAAAAAAAAAGAAAACCTGCCTTCCTCCAGGTTGTATCCTCCAAAAAAAAGGAGCTAGGACTTTTCCTCATCTGTGTTGTTTGCAGTGGATTTGCTTTCAAAACATCAAGCTTTAAATCTGTTCTTAAGAGCTGTGTGCGTCGCCCCATCCACGTCCTCAAGGACCCTGCCTGTGCCAGGGCCTCCCCGTGTTTCTTCCACCCCACTCCTCTGCTGACTGATGTGGCACCAAGAAGGTGAAGTGGCACCAAGAAGGTGAAGGGGCATGAGGTTGTTGGCCTCTCGATCTCTTTACAGTCATTTAAATTTCTTCCGCTTCCTTCAGTAACCCATCACAGTTCTGTCATCAGAGGTATCTAAGAGATTCTTACGTCTAACTAACTTCTTATTGTTCATTATTACTAATAGCCCACTTTTTTATTGCTAGAATAGTGGCTAACAGAAGTTTTCTGAATCACTTGCATGGGCTTTTTTACCCTTTGTGGGTAACAAAATAGTGTATATCTTTAAAGGTTTTAATACATTTAAAAGAAGGTCTTTATGGAATATCCTTTGGCCTGGTTGTTTCATCCTGGCCTTCCACACTGCTTACTCTGGAGCATTGCATGGATTCTGATAACAGAACCCAAAAGCTCTCACTTCTGAAGGAACTTCTGGATCTTCAAAAAGAGGAAGTTATCTTTGGTGTAGCTTTAGATTTAGAGCATTTGGTTCTCTGAAAACTGCAAAGTAATATGACAGTTGGTGACTTTAATATTTATTAACTGTATATATAATCTAAAGAAAATCATTTTACAAATTCTGCTACTTTGAGAAGTAACTGCCTGTTTTTGTTTAACATAATGAAAGTTACATTGACATTTCCAAGACTTCACTGTAGTTTCACTGTCTAACTTTTAGAGAACACGTCTGCTCACCCTGCCCCAGTGCTTCCCTTTCAGCCCATCTTTCCTCACTTAATTCTTCAGTGGTTCATTTTGCAATATTCTGGTTAAAATATTTACATGCAGAATTTCTGTATGTCACAGGGTCACAGTTTAATTTTTATAAGTACAATTTAAAACCAAGTTGTTTGACCAGTGTGGCTCATTAGGCTGTCTCGTGGCGAGCTGCATCCTTCCTTAGTCAAGGTATGGCTGCTAACAAGAAATAATTGTTGTTTACAAGTATTTCTAGTCCGTAAAATTAATGCTTGCTTTCATAACTCCTCTGCCACTCTTCGTATAGTCTTGAGATTATATGCAGTTTTCATTTGGCAGTTTAAAGTTTTATTGCCCAAAAGGAATAAGCAGCATCTGCATTCTTAATGAGTTTATTCTTCAGCATTCATTCACTGTAGGAGGGCTGTGCCGGGCTGGGCGAGCTAGGCTGGGTCATCTTTAGCAATGGTAACACTTACAGATTTACTCCTCCACTTAAGACAAGTTAGTCAGATAACTTGCTCGTATACAAACCATGTCATTTCGCTAACACACTTTTCCCAAATGATTAATAGTAATATTACCTTTTATTGGTTCTACCAGCTTGCTATAGAAATGACTCACTTGTTCATAGTTCTTAAAATTCTTCTGAAATCCCTTATACAGGGATTTAGACACTGAACATGTGATAAATGCCTTGCTGTAAGGCAGAAGCTATGCTGGCAACTGGGTTTGCAGAATGAAAAGGACATTTCCTAATTTTGGACCATTGTAAGAATGTCCACTATTTTGGTTTATCAATAATTTCTCCTCTGTGTTTAAAACACATACAGCTCAGTGATTGTGACATTTGCTAGCTTGGCTTCTCAGCACAACTAAAGGGGCTACTCATGCTACTAAATGGGAAGAATTTTCCTCCTAAATACTTAGGCATAGTAATTTTAACAGAAGGGGCATTTCAGCAGCCCTTCTTCTTTTTAAAGAATAAATTTTCAAATAAGCTCTGAGGAGTTTTATACTTAGAAAGTGGTTCAATATGATATTATTCGACTGATCCTACAAAAAAACCTTAATTCTGATTTTTTAAAGTCAATTAGATTGACTTGTTCCTTTGCCTTTGTTTTGAGAATGAATTTTTAAATTATTTTCAGCTAAAATTGTGATTTAATGATGATTTTTCACCTAGAATCAAAGACCAACTTTTTAGATGGTTGTAGAACTGAAAAAGCTGTAACTAATTTCTAATGGTTCGATTCAGAAATTAATTTAACTACTTACCATGAATTTTAAAAAATAGAACTGTTAATTTTAGATGTGCATTTGGACAATGGATCGGGACTTGACACATGTGGAGACACATCTTCAGAGAGTTATAGTTCTCCGTCTAGCCCACGACATGATGGAAGAGAAAGTTTTGAAAGTGAAGAAGAAAAAGACAGAGGTTTGCTCTTTGGGGGTGGGTATAGGGGATGGTGGAGGGAAATGTGTGTTGTCTTAAAATCAAGGTCAAAGATAAATAGTTTTATGTTCCTATAAATGTCGTTATTGATTCTAAATTTAATTTCACTATAAAGGGTGTCTTAACAGACCATTACCTTAGCATTTCCTAGAATGTTGATTTTTTTTTTAAACTTCTTTCACTTAATATGAAATTAAATGGAGGACCAAGTCACAATAAAATGTAGATTAGTCTAGAAAATTTAAAATGTGTATGTTGTCCAATGCACATATAATTACAATTTTTTTTCTTCCTAATGGATTGGCCCTTTTATCATCATAAAATGTTCTTTGTCTCTAGTGACAATTTTTATCTTAAAGTCTGTTTTGTCTGGTAACATAACAGCTGCTCTAACTCTCTTTTGGTATTGTTTGCTACATACCTCTTTTTCTGTCCATTTACTTTAAATCTGTTTGTGTCTTTGAATTTCAGTGTGTATCTTATAGATAGCATATAGTTTGGGTTTTTTTTTGTTCTTTCAGTCTATCTGCCATTTGATTAGTGTGTGATCCATTTAAATTGACTGAGATTACTAATAGGGCAGGATTGACGTCTACCTTTTTGCCTTTTGTTGTCAGCATGTATTATGTGTTCAGTTCCTCCTTGCTCAGAGAAGTAGCGTCAGCCTGTAAGTGAGAGTGGGGAACCTTCACAGGCCTTTTTCTGGGTATACATAGGTACAGTCCTAGACGTGCTCCTCACCTTCTGAATTCCCACAAATATAGCAAAGCTTCTCAAAGCTCCCTGTGGACTTCTTTTTCTCCAGTTTTTCCTTTCAAGTTTTTTGGTAAACCTCTTATTAGCTCAACAATTGCTGCTGGCTGTTTGTAACAGATGGCCTGTGGGGGAGAGGCTGTCAACACTGAGCTGGAGCTGCTGGTCAGTTGGGGGTAGTGACATTTCTCTGAGGATGGGGCTTCATTTCTCTTTCTCAAAATGTGTGTGGGTCCCAGTGGCCGCTAGGCTGCCGGTTTTCATAGCTGTCATAGTTGCAGGTCTGTAACCTTACCAGGCTACTTCAGAGCTGGAGAAAGTGAGATGAGATGGCAATAAAGACAAAATAAAATGCTGCCGGACTGGTTATTCTAAAATAGATTAAACTGTTTGTCTTGAATACACACTCAGATTGCTACAAGCCTTTAGTTAATTTCCAGAATTCTCAGAAAGTTGATTTTGACAATTTTTGCCAGGAATCATACTGCTTTTATGGTGGGGTAGAGTATCAGACGTCGTTATTCTGCCATTCTGGAAGCAAGATCTCAGAAATGAGTATGTTGAATGAGGATGTTGTTCTTTACACTTGACAACGACGTCTGATTTGCAGCGTCTTGGTTATGCGGTGTTCCCACGCTTGTGGCCAGCATCGGATGGTTTCTCCAGGGCCACCTACAGATCTGTAAAAATCCCAAGACCGTGGCATTTGTGTGGTTCTTCCTGAGCCCCAGCTCCATGATACTGAGGTGGTGTCTCCGAGCCATGGTGCTTCTACTTCAGAGACAGTTGATGCCAGCCCTTTCTTTGAAGTTATTCTGAAGTCACACCAAATGTAGCCTGCAGTGACTGTACCACCAAGTCTAACCTGAGGCAACGCTGCATTCTGATCTGCAGTTTCCTCAGGAAAGGAAAAAAAGTGAAAGTAACACAGCTGTTGAGAAGGTTGGGTGATGAGAGGGTTTTTATGCCTTGCCCAGAATACACACTTTCAGTATGTTTGATTTCACATGCTTGGTTCTGTAGGGTGTACAGATAGTCCTGTGACTCTTTAGCTGACAGTGCTGTGTGGACCATGGTCAGAATTGTTAGAGCACATCTGTCTGCCCAAGATCCCACTCCTGGCATCAGATGGGCTGAGTCGGTGGCCTGTGTGGAAGAACTAGCTCAGTTATCAGATGACTAAATGAGCCATCCCTAAATGAATAATCATTTAAGGCTGACACCTTAAATGTCAGGGGGAGTTCCACAGTGATGCAGAGCTTTGATCAGCTTTAGAATTCTGAGGGCATGAAAGCTTGCTTTAAAAGCTTGAGACTTTGTTCTTCTTGTTAAGACTCTGCACTTTTTAAAGTCAGTACAAAAGAAGGATGAGACCTATCTCCTTTAACTAGGTGAGACCTTACAGTGCTCAGAAAACTTTTAGCATCCCTTAATTTAAAATTATGGATTCAGTTGCCATGATTTAAGAAGATTTAAACAAAACCCAATTCATGTAGAAACTTAACTCATCATCTGAGAAATGTTAGTTTCTTTTTGCCTTAAATGTTCAGCCACACTCCTATGATGGTACAGAGAGAGATGTAATGTCTTAAGTAAGTAAGTTTTGGATATTTTGCATTTTGTAAAGTTTAGCAGGAAACACCCCAATTATGAGAAGGAGTTTATACTCCCTCTCTTTTTTGTAATATAGAGAATAGTTGGACGAATACTGCTTGCCATTCTGTCACTAAGTACATTCTGGTCTTCTCAAGGAAGACTAGTATGTTTCGTCTTCAGTGTTCTGTTTCAAAACCGATTAACATGTGAACATAATACGACATTTTAAATACATAATGCCAGTTAGATTATATTTTTGAACAGAAGGATGTTAAAAGAGGCACTGCAATTAGTTGAATGGTCTTGTGTACACATTATTGTAGTGTCTGGGTTTAAGGCATTGTAACCTTGTGAATTAGATTTTATCCTTTGTCTCCTGTACCAAAGTCAGGAAGTCCATGAGAAGTGTAGATTGAAGTTCTTTCCTTTCATTAAAGTGTACATTCATATATGACAGTATATATGACTTAATGGTTTAGCTTCAGTAGATTGAAGTTATTTCTGTGGGTTAGCTTCAGAGTGATGCAGTACCACGTATGAAAGCGGGACTGTTGTGCATCTGCCGGGTTGCTGTTTGCCCTTGGAGACGCGGCCAGGCTCTTGCTTTGCCCTGCTGCACGTGTTCTAGCGCATTTGTTTTGTGACTGTTAATAGTAGCTTTGAATTTTCTCTTCCCCCACTGAAATATGAAAGAAAAAATGTTTATTCCATTCTAAAATAAAACTCTTCTATTCCCTACCTCTAGATATTTGGGTTAAATATAGTCTTGATTGAGCTCCTTTAAATTGTTTCATTTATGTAGGATCTATATATAAAGACCATGGATTTGGCTGTGCACAATATAAAATCACATGAATTGCCTAAAATTGATTAGGTTAACATTTAATCCTTGGTAATAAGGTGACATTAAATAACTCTGTTTTACACTGTGCTTCATTCAGTCTCCAGTTAACCTTTTGTTTTGTTGCTTATCTCTCCATATATTTTTGTTGTTGTTATAGGCTTTATTTAGTAAAGCATTTTAGGTTTATAATAAAACTGAAAGGAAGGTTAAAAAAAAAAAAAGCATTCCCCGTAAAGCCCCTGCTTCCACATACAAAGCCTCACTAGTATGATACATTTTTTTTATTAAGGATGACATGTCATAATCCCCCAAAGTCCATGGTCTAATTAAGGGTGCACTCTTGGTGTTTTACCTCAGCGGGTTTGGCCAAATTATAAGAACATGTATCTGTCATTATAGCATCATACAGAACATTGTCACTACCCAGAATACCCTCTGTGCGCTGCCTGTTCATCTCTCCACCACCCCTTGGGAACCACTCATCTTTTGATTGTCTCCATAGTCTTGCCTTTTGCAGAATGTCCATATTTTAAAGATAATGTATATAAGTGACCCATAGAAAGTAAAAAATTGAAAGAAGTTCAGCTTGGCAGTCAGGCAACACAACAGAGGAACACTTTTATTCCCGCCCCAAACGTCAGAGTTCCTTTTAGGTGTGCTTAAAACTTACTTCTAGCAAGAGAGGAGGAGGGCTACACTTTTGTTAACATCTATTTATATTTGTTTTCCTTAGACACAGACAGCAATTCTGAGGATTCTGGGAATCCAGTAACCACCAGATTTACAGGTTACAGCTCTGTCACCCAGACGCTCACTGTCAAGCCACCTGTTCCGATCGCTTCGCTAGGAAACGACGATGACGGCAGCGTCTTGGAAGACCCCTTAAACTCACCCAAGTACCCGCACATTTCTTTTATGCCCACTCTGCACTGTGTCATGCACAGCAGCGCCCAGAAGTCTGAAGTCGTCGTTCCTCCACCCAAGTCTGCCGAAGGCAAGACAGTAGGGATGCTGGTTCCAAGTCCTGTTGCTATTTCTGCAATTAGAGAGTCCACAAGTTCAGCCCCTGGGGGAATGCTGGGGTCAGCAGCTTCCACTGGAGAATCAGAAAAGCACCTTGAATTACTGGCTTCCCCTTTACCTATCCCATCAACGTTCCTGCCGCATGGCAGCGCTCCTGCTTTGCACCTCACAATTCAGAGGCTGAAGCTGCCTCCGCCGCAGGGACCTTCGGAGAGTTGTACAGTCAGCATCCCACAGCCGCCGGCCGGGGGTCTGAGTGTCGGGTCACCAAGCACTGCCTTTCTTCCTGTCCATAGCCCGGGTAGTTTTCCAGGATCTCCTGTTGCCACCACGGACCCCATCACAAAACCTGCGTCCCAAGTAGTAGGACTCAATCAAATGGTGCCTCCAATTGAGGGAAGCGCGGGGACCGTCCCTCAGCCTACCAGTGTGAAGGTAGTCGTTCCAGCAGCCGGCCTCTCCGCCGCACAGCCACCAGCCTCCTACACCCTGCCCGGCTCTCCGCTGGCCGCCGGCGTGCTGCCCAGCCAGAACTCCAGCGTGCTGAGCACGGCGGCCACGTCCACCCCGTCGGCGGGCGCGGGCATCAGTCAAGCCCAGTCCCCGGTGCCTCCCGCTGTCCCGACACACACCCCGGGCCCGGCCCCCAGCCCCAGCCCCGCCTTGACGCACAGCACAGCGCAGAGCGACAGCACCTCATACATCAGCGCGGTGGGGAACACGAACGCTAACGGGGCGATGCTGCCGCCGCAGCAGATGGGCTCGGGTCCTTGCGGTTCTTGCGGGCGAAGGTGCAGCTGCGGGACCAATAGCAGCCTTCAGCTCAACAGCTACTACTACCCTAACCCCGTGCCCGGACCCATGTACCGAGTCCCGTCCTTCTTCACTCTGCCGTCCGTCTGCAATGGCAGCTACCTCAACCAAGCACATCAGAGCAATGGAAGCCAGCTTCCTTTTTTTCTGCCTCAGACCCCATATGCAAACGGGCTGGTGCACGACCACGTCCTGGGGAGCCAGGCCAGCTATGGCGTGCAGCAGGTGGCAGCGTTTGGCAGGTTCTACCCGGTCTACCCGGCACCCGGCGTAGTTGCCAACGCGAGCGGCTCGGGGCCCAAGAAGAACGGGAATGTGTCGTGTTACAACTGTGGTGTGAGCGGGCACTACGCGCAGGAGTGCAAGCAGTCGTCCATGGAGGCCAGTCAGCAAGGTAATCCCGAGGGCTCCCAGCGCACCTGTTTCTGAGGGTCCGTTTCTCCTCCCCCGCTGCTCACGGGGGTGCTGTCGGAGCAGCGCGCTGCCGTGTGGTCGTGTCGGATGTTGTGCGTGCGGGGACAAGTCGTACAGAGCAGACGGCAAAGCGTGTAGGGTAGACACAGGCCGCGCAGGACGAGGGAGTGCAGAGGAATCCAGTTCCAGTTCAGAATAAACTGTCAAGGCGCCTCTTAAGAGATGCAGTGGGAATTTGCATTGCCTAGTGTCAAATTTCTGGCTTGAGGCACTTTTTTTTTCTTTTAAAGCTACAACCCTGTTTGATAAGAGTAAGCATAAATTTGAAATAATGAAAAACGAGGAGGCAACCCAGTCACCTGATGTGAGGTTTTAGTTATTCCTCAGTGTACTTACGCCACAAGCAGCCGGCCGCCCGCGGGCGCCCCGGCAACCCTTCTCCTTCCCAGCAGATGGTTTTTAAAAATGCCCTTGCGTTTTACAGGAACGAGATATTTAAGCACTGGTTTGGGAGTAAAGGAATTTGACCTAAGTTTAATATTATAAATAAGTAGGTTGAAATAAGAAAATGCTCTTAAATAAGTATGAGCGAGACACCAACCTCAGTGTAGACACCTCAGACCTACCGTTCCTTGCATTTGGCTTTTGTCCTGTTGCCAAAGCTCACCCAGGGAGAAGGTCTTGATTTGGGACTCTCAATTTGGCATTTTTAAAGGAAGATGGAATTTGATAGCTTTAGGTTGAACTTAAAGCACAAACTTCGTGTTCCTTCTCAAAAGTAATTGTACTGACCGTTCGGAATCGAAGTAGCGCGGAGGAAGCGGCCTCTGGAGCGCATGCCCGTGTGCTGTCTGTAGTGGTCTGCGGCGCGTGGCTTTGTGAGCAGTGACTTAGCATTCTGTCTTTCCCGTTTTAGGCACTTACAGACTGAGATACGCGCCTCCCCTCCCCCCTCCTAGCGATCCGTTGGATTCTGCAGACTGAAACGAGTAAAGCCTGCCTACTCGACACACGGCAGTGTGGGCAGTCATGGAGGGGTGTGGGGGGAGGCAAGGAAAGGTATTTTGTGTTTCTTTTGTCTCTACGTTTCCCAGATTTCTATGCAGTCGGGATGTTTCATTTCTCATGTGCTGATGTCTAAGACAAAAAAGAATGCGTTGCTCTTGAGCCGCTGGTCTCCTGGTTCAACAACAGGCTTCTCTGTATGATACGTGTAATTTAAACCTCCAGACTATCAAAAGGAAAATGTGGATGTGTGCTTTTTTTTACACTGAATACTCGCTGTGTGCAATGTTTACTGAATCTTTAAAACTGTGTATTTGACCTTTTCTTACAACACTGGTGACAGTCATATGGTTTTGAAAAAAGGACACTTCGCTTCTTCTGCAGCTTTTTCTCACTTTCACCCTAAACTGTACTTTTCTACCGCTGCCCTCCCTCTTCCTGCGGGCGGGGGTGGGGGCAGTACCCGTGTCCCCCTGGTGGAAGCCGCCCCCGCACATGAATTGAGGGTAAAGTGATTCACCTGAATCTTGCGGGAGAAAACAGATCCCCAAAGCAGCGCGTGCACGGGTGGTGCACGGCCTCCCCTGAATACAGACGCAGCACTTGTCCAAGCAGAAGTTAAGGTAAATGAATGAGGGATGAGCAAAACCATATGAAACTGAACAAATGCACTAGCTAAGGTGGACAAAGAGCTTTTCTCAGAAACAAACAAGCCCCCACCTTTTTACTTTTTACATTTTTAGCCTGTTGCTTCAGAGAGACATAAAGTGAACAAACTGTGTGAGTGCTGTTCTCGTGTGTGTGTGTGTGTGTGTGTGTGTGTGTGTGTGTGTGTGAGTGATGCCCGTCCCCAGCCGATCTCTCTAATTACTCTGGTCCTCCACTGTGTCCCCGGAGACTCCTGGAGCTGGCTTCTTCCTTCCCTGCACCAACTGTTACAGTGTTCTGTTGCGTTTAAAATGTGTATGGCTTATTGCAATCTGAACAGAAGCTCTTAGTTTCTACAGAAAAGTCAGGTATTTGTTCCCTAACCTGTCTCTCCTAGCAAAGTCACTTTTGTAACAGTTTACCACTATGCTTGAGTATAATGTGAAAGACTGAATTCTGAGTGTGTTAAGATGGTGTTAATCATGTCAGTGTCATGTCACTAAGTTTAATGCTGCTGTTTAAAAAAAAAAAAGTTTTTTAAAAGCCAATCTATGTACTAAATTGCTTCCAGGTAATTTTTAATTTCCTAAAGTGCACTGAGGTTATCTGGAAGAGTAGGTGTATTCTTTTGGACTGCTGCGTCCAACAGCAACGAGCAACTGCCACAGGGTAGTCACAGGCTGGGGGGCCGGGCTGGCTTCGTTTGCCACCCTCAGCAGAGCAGAAAGGGCAGGTGGTGGTTGGGGGGTAACATTGGGGTGCAGCAGAGCGACACAGAGTTGGTCTTGGCTCAGAAGCCTGCCAGATTGCTAGGAGAAAGGCAAAACTTGAAGAGCAAAAAGAAGCTTCATTTAATGCTTCCTAGGTAGTATTTGTATTTATAGCACCGATGTACATTTTGAAACTTTATTTCAGGGGCGGGAGTTCAGGGGACGGGAAGGGTGGGCGTGAAGGGGTAGAAGATGAAAGCTTTAATTTAAAAAGAAAAAAAAAGTTGGAGTAAAGGAAATTATTTTGATTAAATATATTTTATTTGATCTGGGTATTTTTGGACCACATTATTAAATTAATTGTTAAGCTGCGATTGAGTTGTTCAAGTGACAGTTTTGATAAGCCACATACGGACCGCATTGTGAATCACTTGCCAGTTGTACTTTATGGAGCTTATTTTATGATTTAAAATACTGTACTGTACATAGGAGGTGTGTTACCTTCTTCTTATTTGTATGTTTACCATATACTTTGATATTTGAAATGTTATGTACTGGAAAGGCCACTTATATTTCTAGAACAGATTGGATTTTATGCAACCTTTTTTCCTTGAATTAACAGCAATAAAAAAATGAAAAACAGCTTAAGAATTGTGCTTTTTTGCAAGTTCTGAAAGATGATAGACAGGACATCACACCTTGTGGGGTTTTTTTTAATTATTTTTAAAATAGTTTTTATGAATTGACCCGTTTGTCCGTGTCATGCGGGCGGTGAATCCCAAAGCTTCTTAGCATCAGCGTTTTTCACTTTGCGCCCAGACGGCCGCTAAGGGACGAGGCTGCGTGTCTGCGCCCCCGGCGCGCCTGGGCGAGGCCCCGGGCCGGGGATGACAGCGTCCTCGCACCCGCGCCCGGCTCCGGTCGTGGCCCTCCTCGCCGACAGCGCGGGGGCCTGATTCACGCCGGCAATAAGCGGGATTTGTGTTTTCCAGGCAGCTCTCACTAACAGTGTCGAGTATCTTTGAGTGCCTTGGCTCTGTCTTCTGAAATCCAGGCTCAAGTTAATTTCTTAAACAGTCGTTTATAAGATTACCGGGAGGTGCTCACCAAGTACTCACGCGCCTTCCATGTCCTCCGGTGACGGCTGGTGTTTCTGGGCCCAGGCCTTCCGGGTGCCCCCACCTCCCGGCTCGGGGTCACAGGCCAGGCCATGAGTGAGTGAGGAGAGCCGCCTTCTAATAAGTGGCCCGTGGGTCCCCACATGGGCAGTGGGCTTGAAGTGATCGCAGAGTCCCCGGGGGTTGACAGCACGTCCGTTCCCCCCCCCCCTTTTTCAGCCAGCAGACACGCGCCTGTGCACGCGGAGCACAGTGTAGGATGGGCTGCTCTCCCGTGGTGCAGGCGGGGCCCTATCCTTGTCCAAGCAGCTGTCACTCCTGTCAGCAGTTACCTGAGTACCTACCCCCCATCCCGTCACCTCTGGGAGCGGTAGAACAGTGCCGCTGGGGGGTTGGAGCAGGCCGCAGAGAGCCGTGCTGCAAGGCCTGGCGCCGGGCCGGCGCAGCGAGGAGGTGCCTGCGCAGGGCAGGGCCGGGCACAGGACGGTGGTGCGGGAGACGCGGGCAGGTCTCGTGCAGGGAACATTTTCTAAAGGATTTTTGAGATGTGTGGCTCTACAGAGGAGGCCGGAGATTGCGGAGTTGACTGAATGAAAAACTTAGAAGCTCACCGAGTTTGAAATAGAGGAAACATGTCGACAACAGTTTGGGAGGAAACCGTTAGATGGTTGAAGGGGGAAAGCCTGGGGTTCAGAGACCAGTCGGGGGGACGGCCTGGACGCCCCACGAAGGTTGGCAGAGGCCAGGCCAAAGAGGGGATGGCGCCTGAGCTGCGTTTCCCCTCGAACGGGAGCTGGAGTCCCCGCTCTTGGGGTGGAATGAATTCCATGGAAAGTTGGTGGTGAGATGCACCTAGAGGGCTCTCAAAGATCCCACGGATTCCATTTTGATGAACATTGTTCTAAAGAGACAGGAAAATAGGGATGAGGATAAGGTCTAAGAGTGAGAGGGTCTTTGGGGGTGAGGAACCCAGAAAATGTGTTCACTGTGTTAAAGGAAATTATTTCAGCTCTGTCCTGGTAGAAGAGCCGTGTGCTCCAGGGACCGGTCTAGCTGGACAGCTTACCAGCCGCTGGGGGCCGGGGCTGCCCGAGCTGGGGCTGGGCTGTGTGATCCCAAAGAGGCGGTACCAAACCCAAAACTCTTTTCAGAGCAAATCCACGTTTAATATTTTATGTAAACGCTAAAAACCAGTTTTTTTCTGAGAAGATTCCCAAAAAGGTGAAATAAAGCACAGTGTGATATAATCTTTTTCTCTCTTTAACAGGTAGCATCTAGTACTAGGAGCATCATCCATTTGAGCTTGGAAGACACCTTTTTTCAATTCTACACACTGGTTACAAAAGCATTCTAAGGTTAAGGCAGTGAAACCAAACAGAGGCAAGCTGTGGCCATAGTTCAGTCCCAGAGCCCTAAAGAAGAGAGACTGCTCCCCACCCTACCAGAAACCACTGCGGGGGTTGGGGGCGGGGAGCCCCCAGCAGGCACCAGAGCGCACGGAACTGGGCTCCAGAGGTGGAGAGGCAGGCGTGAGCTCGAGCAGAGCGCAGCCCCATCCTCTCCCGGGCAAGACTCGCGGCGGGCACGTTGGCTGGCTGGTTCGGAGTCCTCAGTGCATCCGCTCATGAGTCACAGCTCGTGCCCATGTATGCAGAAATACCCACCATATCGCGAGAAGTAGATTCTTACATGAGAAACATGAGCCCTCTAGATTGGAGCAAAGGTATACACGGCCTGAACTCTGTGTCCGCAGATGTCTGTCTGTCTTGGGGACCTCTGGGGGTTTTAGGCTGCTTCTGCTCTGCAAAATGGGCACATCACAGGTGGGGGGAGCAGAGACCCTCCTTCCTGCACTCACCCGTCTTCTGCAGAAACTGCAGACCTTGATCACCAGAGCTCTTAATCCTGAGATTTGCTACTTGAAACCTGGGGGACGGGGTGAGGGCGAGGTGGGGGCCGGGTGGTTCTTTATTGTTCTCTTTGCTCTTGCAGCTCCAACTTGATCCTCTGGAAAAGGTCTCAGCCTGCCTCCCACCAAAAGAAATTGCTACTTGGGAAGCGGCGCCACCTGGTGGGCGATGCGGACAATGCACGCAAGCAGAGGTCTTTCCCGCTGACCCCATTCAGAGAAAATGGACTGTAAGACAGAAAACATTTGCGACTGTGAGCCTGTGCCTCAGACCTTGCAGGCAGCGGACCACAAGAGTCATTCGAAGTCTCCTCTTTCGGCCACGGCCACCTGGTCTGTTACAAACGTCTCCGATGCATCGATAGTACTTTACCGTGTCCTTTGCGCTTTCCTCTGCTCGTCGGTGAGTACAGCTGTGAAGGCTGTGGGCTCTTCCTCCGTAATCTGCAGAGTAGGAGCTCAGGGTTTAGAGGGCTGGAGTGCCCCAGACATGCCAGTGATGCCAACCAGGCTCCAGCTTCAAGCGAATGCTGCTCTCCCACCCCGCCTCCCGCCCGGCATCGCGGGGACCCAAGGACATTTCAGCCACCGGCTCTGTGTTCCTGCGAGGGCTGGCCCCGTCCTGGCCGTCGCCATGCCCTTTCTGTGCCTGTGTCTCTGCCGACCAAAACACCGGGTGAGGGAGTCTCCGGGGATGGGGAAACTCAGGACTTTCAGATCTGGGTTTTAAAGCATCTGCCTGTCTTGAGTTCAACTCAGAAAGCAGCAGCGCTCTCTGTATAGGAGGGTTTAAACACACACGAATATCCCCCGTTGGAACAGAGTTTGGTTTTGCAAAGGTTTTCCTTGTCCCGGTGTCTTGATAAATTGAGCGTAAGGTGAACGTATTCCATCAGCTTTGAAATTTCAGGATTTAAATGAAGTAGCAGGAAAGGCAGAAAGGAAATACTGCTGGCATTTTAAAAGCTCTGACACTGGCGTCTGGACTGTGCCAGGCACTCCCTCTGCGAGCCGCCACCACCGAAACAGCAGAGGCCAAGAATGACGGTGGCAAAGTCACCTTCACGCAGGAGCAGTCGCCACGCCCACCCCCAAGAGCCCCCCAAATGCTGAGGACCAAGCCAGCTACCTGGGAGTCACCGGTGCTCATTCCTGCTACCGTGCCAGGGTCAGGTCGCGATTGTGACATTCAACTGTGCGTTGACACCTTCATCAAATGGTCTTGTTCCCAGCACCACCCACGGCACACATGCCCTTTCTCAGCTTGTTCACAGAAGGTGGGGGGAGTGTCACGTCAGCTTCCTGGTTACGGGGATTAAATCTGGCAAAATGCAGAAAGCACTCAATGTGTGGCAACGTCCTGGTGGTGGCCACACCGCAAGGCTAGGTCTCTGCAGCCTGCAACCCCCTATGGGGTAGGCTCCCTATCCCACCTTACACCTGGGGAATTTGGGTGCAAAAGCTAAATGTCCAAGGGCAATTAAGCAGTGGGACTGGGACCCGCACCCACAGCTCCTAACTCACCCGAGGCTACCAGTTCTCCTTAGTGCCCATTTCAGGTCTCTCGCAGGCCTGGCCGAGTGGTTTTACGGACCACCCTGTGCAGGGTCTGGAGGGGGACTCTTGGGCAGTGTCTGCCTTAAACTGTCACCTTGAACACCTTGCCCCCTGGACCTTTATTTTCTTACCTGACAGCTGGGTGCTTGGTGGTTAATGAAGGGTGGTTGAAATAGAACTGAGTGATGTCAAGACCCTGTGACTGAGAAGCTTGCTTTTTCACGTTAAATGGCTCATCAGGTCTCCACAGTTCTTACGGTTTGAAGGCCTTCCCAGGGGCGGGCAGGATTACCAAGGCCACCCATCTGTGCCCAGGTGTCCCGGGCAGTTTTGCCACCCTGGGGAAGAACAAGCCTGACCCTCGCGGCTCCCGGGGCTGCCAGTAGGTGGCAGCACAGAGCTCCGGCCGGCCCCTGCCGTCCCTCCTCTGCCCTTGTATTTGTAGTTTTCATTTGTTGGGGCATTTTAATGAAAGAAAACAAACAAACATAGTCTTGTGCCGAGGGACAGTGGGTTAGGCACAGCTGGCGGGTAGGCCACACACCGAGGGCCAACCAATGATATTATGGTCCACAGGCTGAGCGCGGTTTCTAGATCTTTAAATGGCTGAAAAACAAAAGAACTTTTCATGACACATGAAAATTATATGGAATCCAAATTTCAGTGTCTACAAATAAAGTTTACTGGCAAACCACCACTCCCGACCGTTTATGTATTGTCACGGCTGCTTTCGTCCCCAGCCCCAGAGCTCCGTGGGTGCAGCAGAGACCCCGGGGCCGCTGAGCCTGCACTCCTGCCGCGTGCTGCAGGAAAAGCTCCGCAGCTGGGCTCCGCAGCTGGGCCCCACCGTGGCCGTCGCGGTGCCTGCATGTAGGGATCCGCACTCGCCCCTGCTCGTGCTCTAATGAAGTAGCTCCTGGCGCGGGCAGGGCCGGCTCCTGTCGGCTGGGAGACCCCAGAACATCACTGGCACCGCGTGGCAAGCAGCCCTGGGACCAGGGTGAGCCGAGAGGCGAATGCTGCCGCCCCAGAACAGGGAAGGGTTCTCAAGAGACCCGGTATCTTCCCTGGACCACGGGAGAGGGAGACAGTGCGCTGTCCGTAGGGAAGCCCTGAGAGGCAGCAAGGGAAACGCATCCTCGGAGACGCGCTTCAGAGCAAGGGGAGGGGCAGGAAGCAGGGGGGCACTGGCAGGGGCGTGGGTGGGCAGCAGGACACAGGATGGACCCA